TTTTTTTTGTTTTCCTTCAGTTTCCCGTGAGAGTCAAATCTTCCTTTTACTGTTCCCTTGGACTTCCCTTTGAACTTCCCTTGGTTTTCCCTCGGATCCCCTTCGAAATTAAAACGTATCCCGCGAGAAATCTCGCAAGACTTAAAAATAAGGGCTTCCTTTTCCCACGGGATTTCCCGCGAAGCAGGCCGTCGGCCCCGAGCTGTGGCTGTAGTCTGCAGGCCCCCGAGCTCTCTGACTGTAGAGTCTCCAGGCCCCCGGGCTCGCTGTAGTCACCAGGGTCCCGGGCTGCCTGGCTGTAGTCTGCAGGGCCCCGAGCTCTCTGACTGTAGAGTCTCCAGGCCCCCGGGCTCGCTGTAGTCACCAGGGTCCCGGGCTGTCTGGCTGTAGTCTGCAGGCCCCCGAGCTCTCTGACTCCCCGGTCTCTCTCGCTGTAGTCACCAGGCCCCCGGGCTGTCTGGCTGTAGTCTGCAGGCCCCCCAGCTCTCTGACTGTAGTCTCCAGCCCCCCGGGCTCTCGTGCTTGCTTGGGTTTATATTGTTTTTTACTTAATTAGATTGACTTAAGTAATTTAAATAATTTAAAGAATTTAAGTATCGAAATTTATTTAAATAATTAAATAACATAAATATGACGGGCAGGTTTCGGATTTAAATTACTTAAGTTATTTAATTCGGCCTGGAATTAAATAATGTGAATAATTTGTAAATAATATCAACAATTTACATAATTTAAATAATTGAAATAGTTTAAATAATTTAAATATTCTAAATAATTTACATAATTTAAATCCGAAAAGGGGGGGACCACCCCCCCCTGCCCCCTAAGACTTAAATAATTCAAATAACTTAAATCCGAAACCTCCCCGTCGTATTTACACTTTTTAAATTATTTAATTCTGGGGAGGGGGGGTGGTCCCCCCCCCTTTCGGATTTAAATCATTTTTCATTATTTAAACTATTTAAATTCTTTAAATCGCCTGGGAATCAAATAATTTAAATTTGAATATGACGGGCAGGTTTCGGATTTAAAATATTTAAATTATCTAATTCGGCCGGGATTTAAATAATTTAAATAATTTAAATATTATTTAAGGCTTCGAACGGATTTAAATTATTTACATAATTTCAAAAATTTCAATAATTTCAATAATTTAAATCCGAAAAGGGGGGGGGGCCACCCGCCCTGCCCCCTAAGGATTAAACAATTTAAATAATTTAAATCCGAAACCTCCCCGTCTTATTTAAATTATTTAATTATTTAATTCTGGGGAGGGGGGGTGGTCCCCCCCCCCCCTTTCGGATTTAAATTTTTAAAATTATTAGATTGTTTAAAATATTTGAATTATTTAAATTATGGCACGGCTCTACTGACACATATTCCGCGGAAAGATTGTCATGTTTTTGGTGAAATTTACGAACACTTACCCCCCGATAAGCAAGATCTTGGAACCACTCCGCGTACTCAGCCTTTAAGAGTTTAAGGGGGTTTCAAATTCAGGGATACTTATATTTGCTCCTTTAAACTTACGAACACTTACCCCCCGATAAGCAAGACTTGGAACCTGCAGACAACAACAAACAGGTCTGTCGCAAAACCGCGACCATTGATACATACCCCCTGTAACGGGGTATGTCGCGTATGTGGGCCGCGGCCCGGTTACAAGCAATTAATATTGGCACGCGGCCATTTGTTTGCAAGAAACAGGGGTCTGCATACCGCAGCAAAACATAAACACATGATGACGATGCGAACAACTGACTAGATGATGAAGATGATGAGGATGAACAAGATCAAGGAGCTGATGAAGATGATGAAGATGATGAAGATGATGATGCTGCTGGGAAAGCTTTATGCAATTGATGCAGTGAAGTTATGCCAGTACAATGAAAGGACTCATGCAGATGAAGAGTGTGATGACAATGATGATAGAGCTTTGCGCTTTATTTTGTCACCCCGTCTCCTTGCTTCCTGTCTCTTCTCTTCTTTCCAGTACCCTTCCAGAAAAATGGCATCCTTGTTCTCTCGCCTCTCTCACTTCCCTTTCCCTTCTCTCTTTCTGTTACTTTTTGACTGATGAACAACAAGAAAGAAACCTGCAGGATAAAACAGTGGCAGGGTAAGCAGAGGTTGCGCGTGGACCTTGCCGTACTTCATCATATCCCTCTTCTCGGCCCATCTCTTCTGCTCTTTTCCTTACTCTTCTCCTTTTCATTATTATTCCTCTTTAGTTGTTCTTATCTGGAAAAGAAAGAGGGAAGGGAGAGATAAGGGAGGGAGGATAGATAAAGAAGAGTGCCATCTTCTCTGCGCCTTGTTTTGTCTCTCCCCTTTCTCTATTCATCTCTCTTCTATTCTTTTCTTTGCTGTTCTATTGAAATTGGATTCCCTGTATCTCTCCTCTGTCCTTCTCTCTCGCTCCTCTTCTCCTGTTCCCCTCTAAACGATTGCTCTTTACAGATAGGTGCCCTCCCTCCTCGTCAGGAAATCTCTTTTCGCTTATTTTGCTTTTTGAAGCGAATAAAACAACGGATAAGAGAGGAAAGGGAATGACTAAGTAAAGACAGGAGCTCTTCAATAGGTGCCCTCCCTCCTCTTCAGGAAATCTCTTTTCCCTTATTTTGCATTTTGAAGCGAAGAAAACAACAGATAAGAAGAGAGGAAAGGGAATGACTAAGTAAAGAGAGGAGCTCTTCAATTTCCCTCCCTATATCTGATGTTACTTTTCCTTCTTGGGCGGTGCCCTTCCTTCTCCCTTGAAGATGCAGAAAACGATCAGGAAGGACACCCGTTCCATCGCCCATATATAGACAGAGATAAATCATGAGCATCAGCTGGGTTTGCTGCCGATCCAAAATGGGGGCGTCCCTTTTAATCGCTTTCTGTGTCTTGAAACGAGCAAAAGGGGCACCCTTACTAAGTGTTTTCTTGTGGTGTCCCTTTTCTTCGCTTGAAGATGCAGAAAACGATCCAAAAAGGACACCCGTTCCATCGCCCATATATGGGGAGAGAGATAAATCATGAGCATCAGCTGGGTTTGCTGCCAATCCAAAATGGGCGCCCCTTTTAATCGCTTGCTGTGTCTTCAAATGTCAAGAGTAGAAGCCTATTCAAGACAGCCTTGCATGTGTGCATGCAGGAAGATGACAGTGCTGCATTCGCAGCCCCCCAGCCAAGCTCAGACCAGTGACAGCAGTTCAAAAGGTCTGTGTGCTAGTGTGGTTGTTAACGGTTCATAAGTCCTCTTCAGCCCGCGCCTGCTTTTGCATGGTAGCGGAGCGGCTCTGACCCAGGGAGCTGCTCGGACAAGGAGGTTGCCTTCGAGGCACCCCTTGCAGCCAGGTGGTTGCGCCCTGCGCACCCCTGGCAGCCTGTGGTCAACACGGGCAAGGGCTGGGGCAAACCCAGGGCAAGAAAGGACCAGGCCGGTCAAGGTCTGAAAGGCAGGGCCAGAGAGCCCAAGGAGATCGTGGACGAGATCGCCCTGCTGGTGAGCCGGACCAGCAGATCCAGGCAAAGGCAAAGAAGAGGCCGAACAAGCAGAAAAGGAGAGGAGGAAGATCGGACAAGGCCTTGTTGAGGAGAAGCCACCAAGGCTTTAGCGAAGCAGCAGAGGAGTTAGTGACGAGGACAGCCCAGGCAAAGCCGAAACCAAAGAAGCGGTACAGGCTGAGGATCGCCCCGAAGATCGAGAGGTTGAGGGAAGAGTGGCCCCGGCTTAGCTTCAGTGAAAGGACTGCTCGAAAGACAGAACTTCGCAAGTCGGGTCTTATCCCGCCTGGGTCCGTTGGAGAACACATCGTCCGGGAGTTTGCGGAGGCTTGCGACACTTGCGACGAGCGAACAAAGAAGCAGCGTGAGCCAACTCTCCTTGCAGCCAGTCGGGCTGTGAAGAGGCAGATCCGTGCGCTTCGTCTGAGGAAAGAGGAGAAGAAGGAAAAGAAGAATAGAAGAAAGAAGCGGCAGCCACTTCTCACCGAGGACGAGGCGGACGACGAAGGCCAGGGTGACGAGGAGTCGGATCCTGACGGTGATCACCGTTCTCTTGGTGGTCGCCATGGAGGCTTTGATCCAGGAGCTCCGGGCACAGTTGCAGCAGTCAGGTGAAGCCATGGCTGCAATGCAACAGCAGATGCTGGTGCAAGGCCAGCAGCTGCAGGAGCTACGGGAAGCTCAGGCCGCCAGTTCAAGTGTGGCCCAGGCACCAGTGAGCCCACCGGCCCAGGTTGCTGCTACAGCGCCGGGTCAGGGAGGTGTCTTTGGGCTGCTCCCCTTGGTGGACACAAGAGGGCTCGGAAAGCCTGAGGTGTTTAAAGGAGATCCAGCAACCTTCAACGACTGGGTCTTCATCCTTCGGAGCTACATGGGGGCGATGGACAGGAGGTACCAAGCCTTACTCCAGAAGGCCGAGTCGTCGGAAATCCAACTTTGGAACCGACTTCTCACTGAGGAGGAGCAAGGGCTGTCGACTCAGCTCTACTACGTCCTGGTGATGCTCTGCAGGGGACGTGCGCTGGACAAGCTGCACAACTGTGGGGACAATGAAGGTGTCGAGGCCTATCGGCAGCTCTACCTGGAGTACAACCCGAAGCTCAACTCCAGATATGTGGGTCTGCTCCTGGAGATCCTGCGCTACAAGTTCGAAGGGGATTTGGTCAGTTGCATCGAGTCCTTTGAGCGCAAGGTGAGGGAGTACGAGAAGCAGCAAGGTGAGGGAGTACGAGAAGCAGTCTGGGAAGGACGTGGACGACGAAACCGTCATCGGGATTGTCATTCTGGGAGTGGAAGACCAGACGGTCAAGGAGCACCTCATTAGGCACTCATCCAGGCTTGACACCTGGAAGAAGATGAGAGCGGAGATCATGGAGATTGCCCGCACGCAGAAGTACTTGCAAAGCACGCCTCAACCGATGGACGTAGGAGGCCTACCAAAGAAGCCGCATAAGGGTTCCCCGAAGGGCGCCAAGGGTGATGGAAAAGGCGACAAGGGCAAGAGCACCGGCAAGGACGCTGGCGGAAAGAAGGATGGAGACAAAGGAGGCAAGGGCGACAAGAAGAAGGGCCCGTGCTTCTACTGTCAGAAACCCGGCCACACAAAGGCCGAGTGCAGGAAGCGAGCCGCGGACTTGAAAAAGGCCGAGAACAAAGGTAGGACGGCTGCAGCAGCCCCGGAAACCCAAGAGGAGCCCGAAAGTGAAGGCCTAGCAGCCTCAACCTTGTGTGTTGCAACTGTAGCAAACCCTGAAACCCACTGTAGGATCCTTGTAGACACGGGGGCTGGGGGTGGTTTGGCTCCGGTTGGCTTTGACAACAAGGCCGTTGAGGTTGCAGGTGACAGGGTCCGCATGAACACGGTCACGGGAGAAGCCTTGGAATTGGGTAAGTGCAAGACTTCGTCGCTCAAGCATGGGGATGTGCCAGTTGAGTTTAACTACAGGGAAAGCAACAGCGTCCAGTTTCCTGTTATCTCCATGTCAGAAGCCAGTCAAAAGGGAACCTGGTTGGTGGTAGGGCCCTCGCACCAATTCCTCGTAGGTCGCTGTGGTGGTGAGCAACTCAAGAAAGCTTTGAAGGAAGTCCCAAAAGTTCCTTTAGTGAAGGATAAAGGTGTCTACTGGTTGGAAGCGACTATGGGTAAGCCCCAGAACCCTGAAAGGCATAGGATCGCAGCTCCAACAGCTCGGGAAGCCAGACCGGAGGTAGCGGATAGCGCCCCGGGAGTGGAGGTAGCTGACAGCGCCCCACCTGCCCAGGTGGATGCGAGGCCTCTTGGCGACGCTCCCCTGGAAGAGCCGCCTGAACCTGAAGGAGAGGCCGGGCGTAAGGCTAAGCACAAGAAGGTACCCCCGAGTGTCAGTGCTGAGATGCGTGCTGAACACGAGTTAACACACCTTCCATTTCGGAGTTGGTGTGAGTCTTGCGTGGTGGGGAAGGGCACCGAAGACTTCCATCAAAGGCGCCAAGAAGAAAAGAAAGAGGACGTAGCAAGGTACTGTATCGACTACTGCTTCTTCACGAAAGCCTTGTCCCAGGAAGCAGCTTCCACTGACGCCAAGGACATCCTCGAGGCCAAAGCTGGTGCCAAGGCCGTTTTGGTTTGCAGGGACCAAAAGTCAGGGGCTCTGTTTACGGGTGTAGCTAACAGCAAGGGCACCGGGGATCCGTATTCCATGGCTTTTGCGCTAGAAGGGATGAAGTTCTGTGGTCACCCAGACATGATAGTTGTTAGCGATACTGAGCCAGCTATCAAAAGTTTAGGTGAAGAACTTGTTAAGAGGTACCCCAAGAAAGCAAGCAGTCAACCAGTGCCCAAAGGAGACCACAAGGCCAACGGTGCAGCTGAGCGAGCTGTGCTGGAACTTAGCATGACGGTCGTACAGCCTACGAGAGGCTTCGGGGTAGGACCTACAAGGGCGAAGTTGTTGAGTTTGGAGAGGTCGTTCTGTTCCGTATTTCGAATCAGAACTTAAGAAAGCTTGAGGATCGTTGGTCATGTGGGGTTTGGCTAGGCAAAAGTTTGAGCAACGATGAGCACTTCGTGGCAACAGCCAACGGCATCCAGAGGTGTCGCTCGGTTCGTAGGCGAGTTGAGGCCAAGCGCTTTGACCCCACGTTTGTTCTGAGGATGGTAGGCGCACCTTGGCAGCCTCGAGGCACGCCAGAAAGGACCCCCGATGCTCCGGGAAGACCCTTGCCAGCTGGAAGGTTGGAGGGTGTAGTGCCTAAACCTCGTGGTGTGTACATCACGGTTGAAAGACAGATCAAGCATGGTAGGACACCAGGCTGCCCTGGGTGCGATACCTCTTACGGTGACGCCCCAGTCAAGCACAATGCCACGTGCAGAGCCAGGTTTGAAAAGCTGTGCAGGGCACCTGTGGTTGCGGAAACAGCGCCCGGGGACGACACAGTTGAGCCATCAAGCAATGGAGGGGATGATCCGATGGGTGCCGGCCCTGGCCCCTCGGATAAGCAGGCAAGTTCAGAGGCCGCGGGTAGTCGCGCCTCTGGGTCTGGCTCGGTGGCTGCCGGTTCTGGCGCCCCGAGTGAAAGAAAGCGAGGTGGGTTGGACCTTAGCGACAGCCCCCTCAAGGAGGCCAGGACCTCGGAACCTGCTCGGGCCTCAGACAGCCCAAGGTCCCCTAGCAGAAAGCGTGAAGCGGAAGGCAAAACGGAGGAGGTTGAAGAAGAAATGGTGGCAGGATTGCCAACAATGCACGTGGCGGCCATGGTGATCAGTGACAGAATGATCGCATCAGCAGCGAAGGAGCTCGAGAAACCGGTCTACGATGAGAAGACTGGAAAGTTGCTGGACCCCGAGAAGGTGAAGATCGGGAGGATGAAAGAGATGACCAAGATGGAGTCCTTTGGAGTCAAAGGCGACATCACATATGATGAAGCCAAGGCGAAGGGGCTCAGACTGGTGAAATCCAGGTGGATCGACACCGAGAAGGAGATCGAAGGGAAGCCTGGAGTCAGGAGTCGCTTGGTCGCTCAGGAAGTGAACACTTACAAGCGAGAAGATGTATCGATGGGAACGCCTCCCATTCGAGTGCATCGAGCTGTGATTTCGCACGCAGCCACAGCGAGGCCCGGTGAGAGCAAGAGCAAGAAGCTGATCGGAAGATATGATGTGAGCGTGGCCTTCTTCCACGCCGACAACAGCGAAAAGATTGGGGTAATACCCCCGGCGTCAGAAGGAACTCCCAACATCATCTGGGAGTTGCACAAGGCGATGAACGGAACCCGGGAAGCCTCTAGGCAATGGGGAGTGAAGATCCGTGAGGTGAAAACAAGACACAATTTCGACGAGCTGCTGTTGTGCCCCAACACCTACTACTTGAAAGAGCATGATCTATGCTTGTCGTGCCACGGTGACGATTTCCTGGCGAGTGGAGAAAGAGAAGCTCTCGACATGCTGGACAAGATCATGGAGGAGAACTACGAGGTGAAAGTGCTACCGAGAATCGGTGACCCAGCTCATGGAGGGGAAGTCTCAGAAGGACGCCATCTTGGGCGCCTGATCAAGTGGACAGGCTCAGGATTTACCTGGGAATGCGACCCCAAGTTTGCCCCACAAGTCATCGAGGAACTCGAGCTAAAAGGGTGCAAAGGAGTTGACACTCCTGCTTCGAAGGCCACAGGCGTGGGAAACAGAGAAGTGGAGAAGGAGCTCAGCCGTGAGAGGGCCGAGGTCTTCAGACGAGTGACTGGCACCATCCTTTACATGGCAGTCGACCGTCCCTCGTTGCAGTACGCAGCAAGTGAACTGGCTGAAGGGATGAGCAAGCCCTTGGAGATTCATTGGCTAAGGCTGAAGCGCGTCGGAAAGTACATTGCCAAGTACCCCGTCGAGAAATGGCACTTCGAATTGCAAGAAGCACCTGCGCAGCTAGAGTCCTTTTCAGACTCAGACTGGGCAACAGATCGCAGAACCAGAAGGTCTATGAGTTCCACGTATCAGAGGTTTGGGAAGCACCTCCTAGACACGAGCTGTGGTCGACAAAGTCTCGTGGCCCTATCGTCGGGCGAGGCCGAGTTCTATGCCATGGTCAAGACAGCAGCAGAAGGAAAGCTTACAACAGAGATCCTCCGACACTTTGGTTGGAAGGTCGAGCACCGAGTGCTGAGCGATAGCTCGGCCGCCAGGTCGATGGCACAGAGGGTAGGGTGTGGAAAAGTCAAGCACTTATCCCTGAAGGAGATGTGGATACAGCAAGCAGTTCGAAACAAAGAACTTTCCATAGGCAAAGTGGATACGCTCATGAACATCTCGGATCTTGGCACGAAGGCTTTAGAAGCAGCCAGAATGGACTCGCTGATGAAGCAGCTGCCCTTGGAAAGGGGCATCGTGGCAGCTGTGGTCAGCTGCTGTTTGGAGAAAGTCCAAGCAGCTCCAGTTCAGAGTGAAGAGGTCTGGTGGTTGAACCTTTACTTAGGGTTGGTTCACCTGTTGGCCTTGGTTGGGTTGCTGTTTGCCAGCTACAAGGGAGTTGAAGTGCTTTTGAAAGGTTGGCGCTGGTTGTGTGGAAGGGGCAATAGGCCCAGTGTAGCGCAGTCCAGTGCAGCCATGGCACTCAGTCGTCGTGACACTCCTCGTGGCAGCGGTGCTGAGGAGGCTCAACACAGTGCAGAGGTTCCTACAACACGGATGCCATCTGTCCCCGAGGGAACCTCCGTGCTGAGATCCCCTGCTGGACAGAGTGACAGTGACAGGATGAGTTTCCGTGGTGACGCCAGAACTGGTGTCGACGATCGAGTCAGAGTGGTGAGAGATACCTTGAGCCTGCTCACGGTGGAAGAACTCAAGAGTGGCCTACGAGTGGAAGGGCTCCAGGTGACAGGGTTGAAGCAAGACCTGATGGAGCGACTTCTGCACAAGTTCGATGGTGGAGATGAATCGCTGTCGGACCGGCCAAGCACCAAGCAGCTGAGGTATGTGCTCTACATCCATCGTCATCGAGCCCAATGCCGAATTCAGTATGAGAATCTTCGGACTCGTGAAGAGACTTCGAAGTGGATCGCCAACTGGAAGGTCTGAGTGGATCTCGACCTAGGTTGAAGGCCAGTGACCCTCTACGTGAGACGGGCTGGCAACTGCGTGACTCCTGGGAACAGTGAGCCGAAGCTGGGAGTGAGACAGCATGAATAGGCAGGTCCAGTAGCAACAGGCCAAGGTACCTGGCCAGTTCCTCCTGTGGAGGGGTGTCAAGAGTAGAAGCCTATTCAAGACAGCCTTGCATGTGTGCATGCAGGAAGATGACAGTGCTGCATTCGCAGCCCCTTTCCCAGCCAAGCTCAGACCAGTGACAGCAGTTCAAAAGGTCTGTGTGCTAGTGTGGTTGTTAACGGTTCATAAGTCCTCTTCAGCCCGCGCCTGCTTTTGCATCAAACGAGCAAAAGGGACACCCTAAGTGTTTTCTTGTGGTGTCCCTTTTCTTCGCTTGAAGATGCAGAAAACGATCTAAAATGACACCTGTTCCATCGCCCATATATAGAGAGAGAGAGAGAAAAAAAAATAATCATGAGCATCAGCTGGGTTGGCTGCCAATCCAAAACGGGCGTCCCTTTTAATCGCTTTCTGTGTCTTCAAACGAGCAAAAGGGACACCCTAAGTGCTTTCTTGTGTGGTGTCCCTTTTCCTCGCTTGAAGATGCAGAAAACGATCAAAAAGGACACCCATTCCATCGCCCATAGAGAGAGAGAGAGAGAGAGAGAGAGAGAGAGAGAGAGAGAGAGAGAGAGAGAGAGAATCATGAGCATCAGCTGGGTTGGCTGCCAATCCAAAATGGACGTCCCTTTTAATCGCTTTCTGTGTCTTCAAACGAGCAAAAAGGACACCCTAAGTGCTTTCTTGTGGGGTGTCCCTTTTCCTCGCTTGAAGATGCAGAAAACGATCAAAAAAGGACACCCATTCCATCGCCCATAGAGAGAGAGAGAGAGAGAGAGAGAGAGAGAGAGAGAGAGAGAGAGAGAAAAAGAATCATGAGCATCAGCTGGGTTGGCTGCCAATCCAAAATGGACGTCCCTTTTAATCGCTTTCTGTGTCTTCAAACGAACAAAAGAAAACACTTAGGTTCCTCACTTGAAGATGCAGGAAACGGCCCAACAAGGACACCCGTTCCATCGCCCATATATGGAGAGAGAGAGAGAGGGAGACAGGAAAAATCATGAGCATCAGCTGGGTTTGCTTACATGTTCATTGTTATTCCTTTTGTTTTTTCTAACGGAAATGAACAAGAGAAGAGAAAAATAAGAACCAGAGGAAAGATGAAAACGAGCACCATCTTCTCTTTGCCTGATTTTTGCATTTCGCCTGTCCTCATTTCTCTTCTATTCTTTTCATTGCTCTTCCATTTAGAGTTGCATTCCTGTTGATCTCTCCTCTCTCCTTTCTCTCTCCCTTCTCTTCTCTTGTTCTCCTTTAAATCTCAAAAACACACAAAAGGAAGCTTCTTTTCCTTGTTGAATGAAGAATGAAAAAAGAAGAAAAGAGATAGGGAAAGAAATTGAAGAGCTCCACTGCCTATTGGTTCATTCCATTTCCTCTCTTTCTATGTGTTGTTTTCCTTGTCGTTTCAGAAAGCAAGCAAAATAAGGGCAAGGGGGCTTCCTGAAGAGGAGAGAGGGCAAGGAAGGGAGAGATGATAGACAAAGAAGAGTGCCATATTCTTTGCTTCTTGTTGTGTTCCTCCGTCTCCTTGTTTCTTGTCTCCTCTCTTCTGTTCAGTACCCTTCCAGAAAATTAAAATGGCCTCCTTGTTGTCTCTCCTCTCTCACTTCCCTTTCCCTTCTCTCCTTCTGTTTCCGTTTAACTGATAAAGCACAAGACAGGTATGATAAAGCAGTGGAAGGTAAAGCAGAGGGTGACTCCTTGCGCTTGGACCTTGCCGTACTTCATCATGTCCCTCTTCTCGGCCTATCTCTTCTGCTCTTTTCCTTACTCTTCTCCTTTTCATAAATTCTTCCTCTCTAGTTGTTCTTATTTCGAAAAGAAAGAGGGAAGGGAGAGATAAGGGAGATAGGATAGATAAAGAAGAGTGCCATCTTCTCAGCGCCTCGTTTTGTCTCTCCATCTTCTCTATTCATCTCTCTTCTATTCTTTTCTTTGCCATTCCATTGAAATTGGATTCCTGTTATCTCTCCCCTCTCCTTCTCTCTCGCTCCTCTTCTCCTGTTCCCCTCTAAATGACAAAAACACGAAAAAGGAAGAACAAGAGGGGCATGTGTTGCAATAAAGCAGGAAGGGAATTGAAGAGCTCCTCTCGCTACTTTCTCATGCCCTTTCCTTTCTATCTACCACAATCTACCACACCAAAACACGACTCTCAGCTTCCAAATATACTTCATCATGGGGAGAAGGGACATACTTCATCACAGACTTGGCCCACAGGGAGAGGGGATATACTTCATCACGCTGCTGGGGGGCTGGATCACAAACATGGCCCACGGGGCGAGGGGACATACTTCAGCACAAAGAGAGGGAACCTACTTCATCACGCTGGTGGGATGCTGGATCACAGACCCGGCCTACGGGGAGAGGGGACATGCTTCATCACAAATTTGGCCCACGGGGAGAGGGGACATACTTCATCACAAATTTGGCCCGCGGGGAGAAGGGACATACTTCATCACAGACTTGGCTCACAGGAGGCGCCAAAATAATCTAAATAATCTAATTATTCAAATCCATTGGTTCCTCTGGAAACCCAACCATTTAAATAATTTAAATAATTTAAGTATTCAAATACCTGGATTTAAATATTTTAGTTCTGGGGCGTCCCATCAAAAGGGAATAGGGAGAGACAAGGGAGAGATGATATATATAGAGCTTTGCGCTTTATTTTGTCACTCCGTCTCCTTGCTTCCTGTCTCTTCTCTTCTTTCCAGCACCCTTCCAGAAAAATGGCATCCTTGTTCTCTCTCCTCTCTCACTTCCCTTTCCCTTCTCTCTTTCTGTTACTTTTTAACTGATGAACAACAAGAAAGGAACTTGCAGGATAAAACAGTGGCAGGGTAAGCAGAGGTTGCGCGTGGACCTTGCCGTACTTCATCATATCCCTCTTCTCGGCCTATCTCTTCTGCTCCTTTCCTTACTCTTCTCCTTTTCATAATTATTCCTCGTTAGTTGTTCTTATCTGGAAAAGAAAGAGGGAAGGGAGAGATAAGGGAGGGAGGATAGATAAAGAAGAGTGCCGTCTTCTCTGCGCCTTGTTTTGTCTCTCCCTCTTCTCTATTCATCTCTCTTCGATTCTTTTCTTTGCTGTTCTATTGAAGTTGGATTCCCTGTATCTCTCCTCTGTCCTTCTCTCTCGCTCCTCTTCTCCTGTTCCCCTCTAAACGATTGCTCTTTACAGATAGGTGCCCTCCCTCCTCGTCAGTAAATCTCTTTTCGCTTATTTTGCTTTTTGAAGCGAATAAAACAACGGATAAGAGAGGAAAGGGAATGACTAAGTAAAGACAGGAGCTCTTCAATAGGTGCCCTCCCTCCTCTTCAGGAAATCTCTTTTCCCTTATTTTGCATTTTGAAGCGAAGAAAACAACAGATAAGAAGAGAGGAAAGGGAATGACTAAGTAAAGAGAGGAGCTCTTCAATTTCCCTCCCTATATCTGATGTTACTTTTCCTTCTTGGGCGGTGCCCTTCCTTCTCCCTTGAAGATGCAGAAAACGATCAGGAAGGACACCCGTTCCATCGCCCATATATCGACAGAGATAAATCATGAGCATCAGCTGGGTTTGCTGCCGATCCAAAATGGGCGTCCCTTTTAATCGCTTTCTGTGTCTTGAAACGAGCAAAAGGGGCACCCTTACTAAGTGTTTTCTTGTGGTGTCCCTTTTCTTCGCTTGAAGATGCAGAAAACGATCCAAAAAGGACACCCGTTCCATCGCCCATATATGGGGAGAGAGATAAATCATGAGCATCAGCTGGGTTTGCTGCCAAATCCAAAATGGGCGCCCCTTTTAATCGCTTGCTGTGTCTTCAAACGAGCAAAAGGGACACCCTAAGTGTTTTCTTGTGGTGTCCCTTTTCTTCGCTTGAAGATGCAGAAAACGATCTAAAAGGACACCTGTTCCATCGCCCATATAGAGGGAGAGAGAGGGAGGGAGAGAGAGAGAGAGAGAGAGAGAGAGAGAGAGAGAGAGAGAAAGAGAGAGAGAGAGAGAGAGAGAGAGAATCATGAGCATCAGCTGGGTTGGCTGCCAATCCAAAACGGGCGTCCCTTTTAATCGCTTTCTGTGTCTTCAAACGAGCAAAAGGGACACCCGAAGTGCTTTCTTGTGGGGTGTCCCTTTTCCTCGCTTGAAGATGCAGAAAACGATCAAAAAGGACACCCATTCCATCGCCCAGAGAGAGAGAGAGAGAGAGAGAGAGAGAGAGAGAAAGAATCATGAGCATCAGCTGGGTTGGCTGCCAATCCAAAATGGACGTCCCTTTTAATCGCTTTCTGTGTCTTCAAACGAGCAAAAGGGACACCCTAAGTGCTTTCTTGTGGGGTGTCCCTTTTCCTCGCTTGAAGATGCAGAAAACGATCAAAAAGGACACCCATTCCATCGCCCATATATATAGAGAGAGAGAGAGAGAAAATCATGAGCATCAGCTGGGTTGGCTGCCAATCCAAAATGGACGTCCCTTTTAATCGCTTTCTGTGTCTTCAAACGAACAAAAGAAAACACTTAGGTTCCTCACTTGAAGATGCAGGAAACGGCCCAACAAGGACACCCGTTCCATCGCCCATATATGGAGAGAGAGAGAGAGGGAGAAAGGAAAAAATCATGAGCATCAGCTGGGTTTGCTTACATGTTCATTGTTATTCCTTTTGTTTTTTCTAACGGAAATGAACAAGAGAAGAGAAAAATAAGAACCAGAGGAAAGATGAAAACGAGCACCATCTTCTCTTTGCCTGATTTTTGCATTTCGCCTGTCCTCATTTCTCTTCTATTCTTTTCATTGCTCTTCCATTTAGAGTTGCATTCCTGTTGATCTCTCCTCTCTCCTTTCTCTCTCCCTTCTCTTCTCTTGTTCTCCTTTAAATCTCAAAAACACACAAAAGGAAGCTTCTTTTCCTTGTTGAATGAAGAATGAAAAAAGAAGAAAAGAGATAGGGAAAGAAATTGAAGAGCTCCACTGCCTATTGGTTCATTCCATTTCCTCTCTTTCTATGTGTTGTTTTCCTTGTCGTTTCAGAAAGCAAGCAAAATAAGGGCAAGGGGGCTTCCTGAAGAGGAGAGAGGGCACCTATCTGCGAAGAGGTCTTGTCCTTTTTAAGAATAGAGGGAAAAGGGAACAAGGAAGGGAGAGATGATAGACAAAGAAGAGTGCCATCTTCTTTGCGCCTTGTTGTGTTCCTCCGTCTCCTTGTTTCTTGTCTCCTCTCTTCTGTTCAGTACCCTTCCAGAAAATTAAAATGGCCTCTTTGTTGTCTCTCCTCTCTCACTTCCCTTTCCCTTCTCTCCTTCTGTTTCCGTTTAACTGACAAAGCACAAGACAGGTATGATAAAGCAGTGGAAGGTAAAGCAGAGGGTGACTCCTTGCGCTTGGACCTTGCCGTACTTCATCATGTCCCTCTTCTCGGCCTATCTCTTCTGCTCTTTTCCTTACTCTTCTCCTTTTCATAAATTCTTCCTCTTTAGTTGTTCTTGTTTCGAAAAGAAAGAGGGAAGGGAGAGATAAGGGAGGGAGGATAGATAAAGAAGAGTGCCATCTTCTCAGCGCCTCGTTTTGTCTCTCCCTCTTCTCTATTCATCTCTCTTCTATTCTTTTCTTTGCTGTTCTATTGAAATTGGATTCCCTGTATCTCTCCTCTGTCCTTCTCTCTCGCTCCTCTTCTCCTGTTCCCCTAAACGATTGCTCTTTACAGATAGGTGCCCTCCCTCCTCTTCAGGAAATCTCTTTTCGCTTATTTTGCTTTTTGAAGCGAATAAAACAACGGATAAGAGAGGAAAGGGAATGACTAAGTAAAGACAGGAGCTCTTCAATAGGTGCCCTCCCTCCTCTTCAGGAAATCTCTTTTCCCGTATTTTGCTTTTTCAAGCGAAGAAAACAACAGATAAGAAGAGAGGAAAGGGAATGACTAAGCAAAGAGAGGAGCTCTTCAATTTCCCTCCCTATATCTGATGTTACGTTTCCTTCTTGGGCGGTGCCCTTCTTTCTCCCTTGAAGATGCAGAAAACGATCAGGAAGGACACCCGTTCCATCGCCCATATATAGACAGAGATAAATCATGAGCATCAGCTGGGTTTGCTGCCGATCCAAAATGGGCGTCCCTTTTAATCGCTTTCGGTGTCTTGAAACGAGCAAAAGGGGCACCCTTACTAAGTGTTTTCTTGTGGTGTCACTTTTCTTCGCTTGAAGATGCAGAAAACGATCCAAAAAGGACACCCGTTCCATCGCCCATGTATGGGGAGAGAGATAAATCATGAGCATCAGCTGGGTTTGCTGCCAATCCAAAATGGGCGCCCCTTTTAATCGCTTGCTGTGTCTTCAAACGAGCAAAAGGGACACCCTAAGTGTTTTCTTGTGGTGCCCTTTTCTTCGCTTGAAGATGCAGAACACGATCTTAAAGGACACCTGTTCCATCGCCCATATATAGGGAGAGAGAGAGAGAGAGAAATCATGAGCATCAGCTGGGTTGGCTGCCAATCCAAAACGGGCGTCCCTTTTAATCGCTTTCTGTGTCTTCAAACGAGCAAAAGGGACACCCTAAGTGCTTTCTTGTGGGGTGTCCCTTTTCCTCGCTTGAAGATGCAGAAAACGATCAAAAAGGACACCCATTCCATCGCCCATATATAGAGAGAGAGAGAGAGAAAAAAAAATCATGAGCATCAGCTGGGTTGGCTGCCAATCCAAAATGGACGTCCCTTTTAATCGCTTTCTGTGTCTTCAAACGAACAAAAGAAAACACTTAGGTTCCTCACTTGAAGATGCAGGAAACGGCCCAACAAGGACACCCGTTCCATCGCCCATATATGGAGAGAGAGAGAGGGAGAAAGGAAAAAATCATGAGCATCAGCTGGGTTTGCTTACATGTTCATTGTTATTCCTTTTGTTTTTTCTAACGGAAATGAACAAGAGAAGAGAAAAATAAGAACCAGAGGAAAGATGAAAACGAGCACCATCTTCTCTTTGCCTGATTTTTGCATTTCGCCGGTCCTCATTTCTCTTCCATTCTTTTCATTGCTCTTCCATTTAGAGTTGCATTCCTGTTGATCTCTCCTCTCTCCTTTCTCTCTCCCTTCTCTTCTCTTGTTCTCCTTTAAATCTCAAAAACACACAGTGAGGAAGACAAGCTTCGAGGCGCTGGAGCCGTGCCGTTTTCAGGCATCGGCTTGGTCAACGAGTTGCTATTTGTTGTCCGCAAAGTTAGTGTCTTAAGATTGTTCACCGATTGTTGTATGATGGTCACTGATTATCCGAGAAGTTTTCGCGGGTCTTTTGCAATGGGTGCTGTCGTTGCTTTTTTTTTGTTGGCTCCTTCTCGGCGGGGCAGTGGCTTCTGCGGTCATGGGAGTGTCCGTGGCGGAGGTGGACTGTAGCGGGTTGTGCGGCTGCATGATTCCAATGCTTGCGGTAAAGGCATGTGTCTCAAGGTGATTTTCTGTGGGAGTGTTTTCTGCACGAGACGGTTCAGGGCACTGCAGGACTCGCGTCCACTTCAGTTTGTGAAGAAGAGTACGAAGTTCGACAGATTGTCGAACCGACGTCTGTACGCGTTGAATGATAATGTAGATGTCTTGAAAGAGTTAGGGCATCTTCATGAGAAGAAGCCTCTTTCAGTAGCAGTGATCTTTGCCGACGCACACCAAGCAACAATTGTGCACGACAGCTGGCGAGACTTGGCGTCGGCCGCAGCAGTTTCCCGAGTCAGGAAGACAAGCTCCGAGGCGCCGCAGCCGTGCCGTCTTCAGGCATCGGCTTGGTCGACCAGTTGCTATTGGTTGCCCGCAAAAATAGTGTCTTAAGATTGTTCACCGATTGTTGTATGATGGTCACTGATTACGCGAGACGTTTTCGCAGGTCTTTTGCAATGGGTGCCGTCGTTGCTTTTTTTTGGTCGGCTCCTTATCGGCGGGGCAGTGGCTTCTGCGGTCATGGGTGCGTCCGTGGCGGAGGTGGACTGTAGCGGATTGTGCGGTTGTATGATTCCAATGCTTGCGGTAAAGGCAGTGATTTTCTGCGGGGGTGTTTTCTGCACGAGACGGTTCAGGGCACTGCAGGACTCGCGTCCACTTCAGTTTGTGAAGAAGAGTACGAAGTTTTACAGGTTGTCGAACCGACGTCTGTACGCGTTGAATGATAATGTAGATGTCTTGAAAGAGTTAGGGCATCTTCATGAGAAGATGCCTCTTTCAGTAGCAGTGATCTTTGCCGATCCACACCAAGCAACAATTGGGCACGACAGCTGACAGGACACTTCAATGTGCGCACAACGGTGCGCAGCCCGACCCGAGAGACCGCTTGGATCATCCCCCACGCAAGAGCAGAAGTGATAGCTAGTATTCGTTGCCAACATCTGACTGCGTCTGTACGTTCACATCAAAAAAGAGTAAATTATAAATCGTAAACCCTAAACCCTAAGAGAACGAAATTGGTGAATTTGTGCTTCAGGTTTCTTGGATTTAGTTTGTTTATAGGTTTTTAAATACAAAACAAGAGAGAACGTCAAATAATACATAAAGGTCCATGCCACATATTATTCTACGTGTCAACATTTTATTGTAGCATTGTTGAGTTTGAGGACACGCATGCTGCGGGGTTTTGGGGTTTAGGGACATTAGGTTCCGGTACCTGGACCAAAGTTTGCGAACACTTTGGGGCTGAAACCCTAAGCCTAAACCCTAAACCCTAAAGCGACCGTCTGCTCGTGCATATTCCGATTTGCAGCTCAAGACCAGCTCCTGGCGGTTCCACGTGAAATTGCGCAGTCCCTACAAGAGCAGAGCATAGCGACGGCAACCAGTCCGCTATGGGACCGGATCAAAGCTGGGATATTGTTGGGATCATAGGCGTCGCCATCTCAGCAGCCGGTGTTGCCTCACCCGATCTCGGACCCCACCGCAGCTGCGGCATTGGTGGCGCCAGCATCATAGCAGCACATTCGAGATGAGCCTGATTTGCACTGGTCCAAGCATAATTCACATTCACACGCAAAAGTGTACCGCCGTGCCAGACGGTGGCGCCGGGCTGCCACGCACGTCCAGGAAGGGGTGGCCCTGCTTGTCGTCTGCCAGATCCAAATAATTTATCGTGAGCTCTGTGCCTTCGGGCACAGCCAGAGTGGTTGAAGCGAGAGGCCAAAGAGCAAAGAATATGGGTTGGCTCGCCAGCAGAATTATCTACTTCGAAGGCGTTGGTTTGAACCACGCCTGGAAATTCGCTGCCAACTTGCCGGAACCCCGCTGGGCTTTCAGAAGGAATATGGGGGTTTCCGAAATTAGGGGTAACCTTATCATAAGGGAATCCTAGTACTGTTTTTTTTTTTGGGGGGGGGTCCCCTACTTCGTAAACTCCCATATCTGAGTCGGGTGTGCATCCAGGCAAACCCCACCCTCCTCAGAGGATTTCCTTCAACCCTAAACCCTAAACCCTAAACCCTGAACCCTAAACCCTAAACCCTAAACCCTAAACCCTAAACCCTAAACCCTAAACCCTAAACCCTAAACCCTAAACCCTAAACCTCAATCGAGAAGCTGTTTCTGTGCCAGGCCAATGAGGCGCACCACGTCGGATCCCAACGCGGGCCCTGGATGCCATCATGATATGTAAATGAGGGACGAATTCAATCTAGCAAAATAGGGTTTAGGTTTAGGGTTTAGGGTTTAGGGTTTAGGGTTTAGGGTTTAGGGTTTAGGGTTTAGGGTTTAGGGTTTAGGGTTTAGGGTACAAGTAAAGTAATCTGATGCTATGACCGTGACCTTTAAAACCCTGACTATCGACTGGCACGCTGTCTCGCTGCAGCCCGCCTTTCATCTTCCGCAAGCCTGCCACGAACTCCTTCGGACTGACGGAGCCACTCCTCTCAGAGGCAAGGGCGCACTGCACTTGATGTCGGTTTGGCTAGGGTTTGGGGTTTGGGGTTTGGGGTTTAGGGTTTAGGGTTGGTGAATTTGAGCTAGGTCTGGACGAAGTAGTGATGTAGCTTCGCCCGCAAATTGGACGGAGCAACAAGCGGTAACTAGACGCACAAAACCCTCAAAGGGTCCCATCGGCATCCATAAGCTCAAAGAGGAGCTCCATCTCATCGAAACCTGCGTGTTGGACCCATGGCCATACCGAACCCGGCTGAAGCAAGTCGTGGCCGAACAAAGAGGGCGCGCCAGGGCTATGCATCCAGGAAGCAAAAGTTGAGCAGCTTCATTTTTTCCTGATGCGCAATAGCTATGGGCACAACATGGGTGCACTGATAGACCAGTGCACACTTCTAAGGCTCCGCATGCACGGCGCAACCCAGCCCAGTTTAAAACAGTCTTGCATGAAAGAACGACAATAAGGACCTTGGAATACCTGTGGTAGCAACGGCGATGCAAGGCCAAATCAAGCAAGACTCCATCATGGTCTTGGTACGGATCACCTTCTTGAAGTCCTGGCAGGGCACGTGCTGTGTCATAGGACCTGCAGCATGGAGTTTCTCGTCAGACCGTTCTTTAGGGACACGGACACAAAGAAATGCCTCCAACACAACCCGAACCCCCTGCGAGCGTTGCCCCGACAACTCCACTTGTGTTCAGGGCTTCGATGCTTCCACTCGCTCACAAGGCAGGCAAGTCGAACATTTAGTTTGGGGTTTAACCCTAAACCCTAAGCCCTAAACCTGAAAACAAGGGAAGCTCTCGGACTTAGCAAAACTCCCCCTGTCCTTGTAGGTCAGCTCTCCGCCACCTTCCTAAGAGCCAGCTTACAACTTCTGTTGGTTTAGGGTTTACCATACTCCCCTTAGAACCTTAATAAAAATACCATTTGAAATATCCTCTTGGGTTTGATATAAACAAAAATGAAAATTACTTGCCCAAGGGGGATAGAGTTTAGACATGTTCTGGATCCCTAAACGTTTAACCTCACAGCGAGCAAGGCTCCAGGCCTAATACCAACTATCAGAACTTAAACCCTAAACCCTAAACCAAAAACCCAAAACCCTGTCTTGCCCCACGCTGTCCAGGGAAAATGTCTTGGAGGGATTCGGGTTGTGGGGTCTTGGCACGAATATCCTAGTTGCACGAACTACCAGTGCACTCTGGATTTGGGGCAAGCCCGGTGCAGCGACGAACCTCCCGCTAAAGGAACATTTGGGCTGCATAGAATCTGGGATAGAATGTTTAGGGTTTAGGGTTAAGGGTTTAGGGATGGAAAGGATGATGCTGTTTGTTGAAGCTGTGTAAACCGCTGCTGATTCTTGCGCTCTGCAACTGGAATAAGCAACCCGACAGGTGAAGAGACGATGCAGGACAAGGCAAAGAAGTCCCTAACCCTAAACCCTAAACCCTAAACCCTTTTTGCATCCGGGCTTGGGGAGTCGGCCGGGAATGGTCTTGCGGGCAAGACTATGCAGTCACTTCGACCACACTAGCAAAGTCAGGAGATGCAGGAAATATTCAATCATCTTGACTGAAGTCGACACAAGCGAAATCAAGCGAACACTCACTAGAAGTAGTCAGCCCACCCTATTCAGCCGCGGGTCCCCATCATCGCAATACTCGGTTAACTCTTCCAGCATGGCGCCAAAAACCTTGCTCTCAACCTTGGCCAGGACCTGGTTTAGGGTTTAGGGTTTAGGGTGGCGGCAAGTTCCTGTAGGAAAAGGACCAAAGGGGCATTCTTTGTGTGTTTGCTCAGGGCCGGTTTTGAAAGTGAGTCCAGCCGACTGCGGTTTTGCACCTTTTGTTTTGTGGTGGCTTGGCTGCCCCATGCTGCCACTAGGGTTTAGGGTTTGGGGTTTAGGGTTTAGGGGATGTGAGCCACCAGGCCTTGGCAAAGTTCACCCGGGTCTCTGCGGCAATGTTGACGATGTGCTCCACCATCACCGCCACAAGGATGTTAATGCACCCGAAATTCAGAAAAACCACTGATATCCTCAACAGGGAAGGGCCCACTAACATCTGCTTTAATTGAACGCACGTCAGCATCTCCAAACATAAGCGCAGCTTCGCGACACCAGCATTGCTACGGTGATCGGCGAGATGTTCATCAATGGCTGTCCCAGTGTAGTGGCGATGGAATCGATTGTGAACACCTGATCTGACTCACGGATCCACGCATGGAAAGAGTAGCATAGGCACTGAACCAGGTTCGTTTTCGACGAAATGCCAGGAGATCAGGCAAAAAGAGCAACATACACACGCAGGCTTTCTTCGCAGTCGTCCAACTGTAGATTCAGTTGGGCAGACAAGGTATGGCTTCTCAAGCCACTGCAAATCCGTGCGTGTTGAGAGCGCCAGATCCGAAGACCCTCAAGCCCCGCCACTTGACGTGCATCTTCATTCCAACCCTATAAACCTTCTTGCATCCGGGATTCAATAGCCACGAACCCCAAATCTACAACTGCATAAACCCCCAAAAGAACCCCCCACCCTTTTTCCATCTGGCCCGCCCAAAACCCAAAACCCAAAACCCAAAACCCAAAACCCAAAACCCTAAACCCTAAACCCTAAACCTCCTTGCGTCCGAGCGCCTGGAGGATGGTGAGCATGGATTTCCACAGCCCGCCCACATAAAGATCCGCGCCGCTCCATTCCTGAGCAAGGGCTCCTACTTTCTGCTGCACGGGTATTTGGGTTTAGGGTTTAGGGTTTAGGACTTACGGAGTTTGATCTAGTTTGAGAATGTATGATCATATGATCATATCATTCTCGTAACATGATAGTGTTCTATTCTTACTGTCTGCTGCAGTGGTACTAAACAGTTTGTTGCCGTATTAAAAAATGTATTGTAATATGAGAATCATATTATCATACTGGCTACTTTCTGCTGTTATATCTAGTGTTCGAATGTATTACAATATGATAATGCCATATTGTCATAATACTGTCGCAACATATTAATAGAATATGATCGTGTTCTATTCTTTGCATGTGGTTAGAACATTCTAGCATTCTACCCACTAAAATATTGAGTCTCGCGTTGCTTGCATCTTACGACCCCAGATCAAGTGCCCTTGTTGCATCTGGAGCGAGGGAGGAAAGCCGGAACTAAGGCCAGGTGCCCTAAACCCTCGAAACCCTGGATGCTCCGAAGGAAGCTTGATGAATAGCGGTTAGGGTTTAGGGTTTAGGGTTTTAGGGTTCAGGGTTTAGGGTTTTAGAAGAATCGGAGTCTGCTCGTTGCGGCTTGGCTTTGCAGCGTGAATTCGGGCTATCGACCAGCACATCCGCATAGCACACAAGCGGCCGTATAGCATGAGCTTCTGACCACTTGTCCCGACGAAATCTCCACCCCAAAGCAAGCCCTCACTCTATGCCATCTTCAAAAGCGAAGGCCTAAAAACCTTCACCACCAAACCCAAATAATCCTGAAGTAATCTGAAGTGAACATTGCCTCTGACAATGCGGGTGGCTCGTCGGATGTCGAGGTCTTGCCCCACCATGGTCGTCACAATCACGGCGAACATGAAGAGGAAAAGGAACAAGGCGAAGGTGACCCAAACCTGGGGGGAAGCCAAGAAGGCCGCATGGTAGCCTTTTCAGGAGCTCCTCAACGAGAAGTTTGTGGACCCCTAATCCCGAGTTCGGGAAAAACACGAAAGCTCACCCCCAAACCTGGAAAAGCCGCAAAGCTGTGGTTGGAACCTTCAGGGCAGCAAGTTTAGTCCCCGTACTGTACATAAGAATATAAACCAATATTTTCACAATATGTAACCAGTAAACTAACTCATCGATATATGGCCATGGCCCGCGGCTCGGCCGGGGCTCGGCCCACACCTTGTTACAAAGCCTTGTCGTGCGGCATTCTGCGCGCGCAAAGCCTTCGCGACAAGCCTTGTCGCAAAAACCGGACTCTGTTACGAACCCTGTGTCTCGCTGTGACCGCCCAAGGCCTGCTACAAGCCCTGACATTTTGGGCCGCGGCCATAATGTATATATATATATATATATACACACATATATACATGTGTATATATATATGTATTCATGTATAGAAGTATTATACAAGCACTACCCAACCTGCGGGGATTTATGTTCGCGCTACTGCGGACAAGCGACCACGGCCAAGAGCGAGTCAAGGAAGCCTTGCGTGATGACCCAAAGGCCTCTCACGAATAGTCTCTGGTCTAAGATGGGTTTAGGGTTTAGGGTTTAGGGTTTAGGGTTTTTCCAATGAGCATGACTGAGCTCCCGACGAACAAGAGTTAATTACAGGCTATACTATGCAATTCAACGTCAGTGAGACCAAACAAGAAAAGTTGAGACCTGCAGCTCCGTGTATCCGCGCAGAAGAGAAAATACCCCGAGCAATTACCAAGAGAGGCCGAAGCCTGGAGTGATTCACGTGAAGGGCGGCGATCTGGATAAAGCTTGAGCTTTGACTTGTCGCAAATGCTCTGTATTGTGCACATCGAAGTCAGCCCCTGCGCCATGAATGGCTTCAAAAGCATCTTTGTACGATTCAACTACCCAGTCCATTCTGGGTCTCCCTGAGCGTCTACCATGGACTTGTCTGGGGCGGAGGTTGTCTACATCGAGACAGACTTGGTTCATGGGGTCAGCTGAACTAGCACGTAGAACATGTCCGAACAACCTCATCTTGGCTTTCTTCCAAGTGTCTCCGAAATGTTCAAAATTACAGCCGTGCACATCCCGTATCTCATCGTACATCCTTTGATTCGTAGCTTGACGGTCGATGAATGTTGGGGGTTTTCCTAGAATTCGCCGTAGAGATTTGTTTTGAAAGCCGTTCAGACGAGAGATTTCCGACTGAGTAAGTTGTATACACTCCAAACCATATAACAACTTGGACCTAACAATAGCGTGGAATACTTGAATTTTCCAAGTTATGGATGTTTTGGCCTTTTGCCAGAACAGCTTGAGTCTGTTAGCAGTAGCAATGCAGTCCCCAAGCCTATTAAGCACTTCGGCTTTGTTGTCAAACGAATCAGTCAGCAAGCTTCCTAGATAGACTGCTGCGTGCTTTCTGGGCACGAGCCTGCCTTGCGCAGGGCCTGTCGGTGAGAATCTGACAGATGAGATTCTTTGATTGGCTGTCAGGTTTACACATTTATCATAGTTAAGCTTTAGCCCGTAATAATCTGAATGCCTTTCAATTGCATGCAAGAGGACGTTGATACAATGAGTATTGGCTCCAAAGATAAGGGTATCATCGGCGTAAAGTACTTCCGCAAAACCTATACCATCAATGGGTTCCTGTTGCCTTTTAGTGCACAGTTCCGTTTTAATGTCGCTGAAGAGTGCACCCATAAGCAGAACAAAAAGATAAGGGCTTAGAGGGCACCCTTGCCGTATGCCAGCTTCTTGTGGTCTCCAAGTTGACTCAGCGGTACCCACTTTAACTTTGAATAGCGGATTGTCGTAAAAACTGCAAATCAAATTCAGGATCCTAGAAGGAACTCTAAGTCTCTGGAGGGTTTCAGTGAGCTTATCTTGAGACACTTTATCGAAGGCTTTTTCCCAATCTAGCAGTATAAGGGTACTACTACGTTTAGTTTTCTCTGCAATATCTTGCAGGCGTCTCGCGACGAAGATGGCCTGGCTGGTCGATTTGCCTTTGCGGAAACCATACTGCGTTTGCATCAGCCATCCATCCAGACCAGCATCAAGTCTCTCTTTTACCAGAGCAGCAACAATCTTATAGCAGGAACAAAGAAGGGAAATTGGCCTGTAGTTGGCCAGTAGGGAGGAGTCACCCTTCGTATAGATCGAAACGACAATGGCCCTCATGAATTTCTCCTGCAAACAACCCTGTTCTAAGCATTTGTTCGCCGCTTCCAAAAGGAGCGTTCGGTTTTGGTCGTCGAGCCATTTATACAATTCACCCTGAATCCCATCATCGCCTGGACTTTTGTTGCGTTTGATTCTAGAAAGAACTACCTTTAGCTCTGCAGCGGTGAAAGGGGAATCGTAAATAACATAAGAACCGTTTTGGAGAGGGGAGTTGAGCCTGGGGACTTGCTCTGAGGTGTTGACAGGTTTCTTCCATTGTGTACGTTGGAGATAATCTGCACATTTGTGAGGGTAATCTTGGACTGCTACATGCTTACCGTCAGAATCTTTGAATTTGGTGAACGCAGGTGTAAACTTTGATCTGAGCCTTTTTAACCCTTCCCATTTATACCCTTGAGCAGTGACTTCTTCCAGCTGTGCAAGCAGATGATCTTCTCGATCTTTCCGCACACAGTCTTTGATTTGTTTGCTAAGGGTGTCTGCGAGATCATCGTCACCTAGTTCAATCGCATCCCATTTCGCTTCTAAAAGCTGCCACGTAGACTGGGAGATATAAGGTTTCTTCTGCGCCGGAGGAATATGGAGAAGTGTAGCATCCGCGCTAGCTTTCATGGCGCAATTCAGCGAATCAAGGCTGGGGCAATTCATTTTGGAGGAAGAAGGTGGTTGAGCGAGCATAGCACGAATGTCATCGTTGAAATCAACCAACTGCTGCTTCGTAGGGGTTCGGTAACGAACAGCTGGGGGGGCAGGGCAAAAGGGCTTCGCCTTCAGCTTGAACTGGACCTCAGCCAAAAGCAGCTTATGGTCTGTGTCAACCGCATGAATGTAAGTAGAGGAAATGTTCTTGATTGCGTTTCTCCATTTGTGGTTAACTAGAATGAAATCCATTTGCGCGTATTTATGCAATTGCCACGGCGGTTCCCATTTCTTAACGCCTACCGCTCTGTAGGTTACGAGTTGCTCTTGTGGCTTCTGGAAGAAAGTGTTCGAAACAACCATGTTTCGCGACAGACAGAAATCCACCAATCTGCTGCGGTTGTTCACCTGCGCTGGCGAGAGGGAGTCTAGATCGGCCCAGGATGCTCCTAGTGTATGTGGCCCAATAGCCGTGCTTTCATGTGGTAAGGCTTTGATCAGTCTAGCATTGAAATCACCTAAAACTAGGCGGGGTGAGAAAGCATAGTGTTCATCCATTAGGGACTCAAGCTCCACGTAATGACGATCTGCTGCTGTGTGATCTACGTGACATGCCTGAGGCACATATGTCGAAACAATGTCTAGGCAACCGGCATGCATATGAAGTGTCATCATGATATTCCTGGCGCTGACCTGTTTTATATCTTTCACATATTTTTGCAACTTCTTTCGATACACAATTCCGACACCTAAGTGTTCAATTGCAGCACGGAATGTTCTGTTGTGTTCAGGAGTTCTGGAGGCTCTGCCAGAGCGTTTCAACTCCTCTGCTTTATTACGATTGTCGTCACTAACACCGCTTGACCAAATCATGACGAAGTCATCGTGAATCTCCTTAGAGTTGCTATTGATTTTTGTTTCTTGAAGACACAATATGTCAATGTTGTGTTTTGTCATCAGGTGAATCACTCTTTCGCGTTTAGAAATAGATGAGAGACCGCGACAGTTGAGAGAGGCAACGCGAAGGTCGATTGGATATCTCCCTAAAAGTACCGTATCTTGGTACTCAGAACTTTCACTACCAACAAGCGCGGATACTTCAGACATAGGAGGAAGTGTTTCAGTTTCGCACTCACTGTTACGACGAGCGGGTAAGAGGTGTGTTGCGTTCGTCGGATCTTGGGCAATGAAAGCAGGCAACTGGCGTGCCAAGCCGATGGCCTGCGACCTGATACGTCGGAAGAGTTGTCTCTGAAATCTTTTCTTGCACGCTCTGTTCGCTCTTCTTGTTATTCTGGCATTCTCACTTCTGCATTTTCTGTGATTGGTGATATTTCTTTCATTTTGTGTGCTGTCTCGTAGCGGTTTACAACTCTCTTTCATACTAGAACATGTCTGTGAAAGGTGGGGGGGGTTCGGAGCATGTTTGTTACCGCTGTCTTTGACAGGAGTCAAAGCGCGGCTTTCCCGCATCGCCACGGGGCGGCCTGCAAACGCTGTACGTTGATGTTCGTAATATTCCTCATGAGCCTGCGTATGCAAAGATAGGTTATGAAAACTCAGTTTCGCCGAACATCGTCGGTGAGAATACCCAGAGATTACCTCGAGAGGCCCGAAGGCCTTGCGGTCAGGACCGCGACGTCTGTCCAGCTTGTCTGAACATACTGAATGAGAGTACCCAGATATTACCTCGAGAGGCCCGCAGGCCTTGCGGCAATGACCGCGTTGTGAAGTCAGGCTCTGGCATAGCGCAGGGTTGGGACTGAACCATTTTGGACGACGCGGCTTTGAGCGCCCTGAGCTTTGAAAAGTCATTGATGAATCAGCATTTAACCGGGAGGGGTTCCACGAACGGTGCTGCGGGATATTAAAAACCTCAGGGCTATGCCTGGCATGGTGAAACAGAAATGGGGTATCAGGGGCCTTGAAAAGGCTCTCAGGTGGGGACCGCGAACTTCACAAGGTTTGGACTGCAAAGGGGAGGAGGGCACGTCTTGTCGTTGTAGTCCACAAGGTTTTCCACGCGTCCCAGTGATTGTCTTTGTCGGAGACAAGTCTTGCATTCAAAGCGAATGGAAACTTGGAGTACCTTGCATGCGAAGTGTGAGTCCAAGGTAGGGGTCCGGCTTCTTTGTCTTGCGTCGACGGCGGCATTCCTGCTTTTCCTTTCCCCTTTCCTTTTTGCTTGTTGCCACCATTGAGGATCTCATTGAAGTTGGTCTCGTAGATCTTTGAGAAGGCGTCGGTGTCTGGAATGTGCTTCTCGCTCATGTAGATGGTCACTACACTGTCTTCGGGCGAGTAATGGATCCAGATGATGTATTCTCCGGAGTCTTTCTGGGTGAGTGTAAGTTCTCTCCAGTTGTGTTTGAACTCGACGCTGGATATCTCGAGCGCCTTCATCGCAATCTTGAGGGGCAAACCGGTAAGTCTGTCCCAAAGGCTGATTTGTGGCTGTACTTTCAGATGCTTGGCTGCGGATGTGGGTGGGCCTAGGTAGGTTCCGAACGTCTTGACGACACGATCCCAATCCTGCTCTTCCTTGTCTCTGATGTAGAAGTGTTCTTGGAGCTTGTCCGTAACTGCATGTTTCTTGGTGTAGTCAAAGAGTTTGCTTCTCTGCCATGGCTGGGTGACTGTAACGACCGTAATTGGGGAAAGAGCATCTCCACGTGTCTGATGACTGAATGTCCAGTCCTTGTAGTACTGGCTTGTGATTCCAGCTTTTTTCGCCAACTCTTTTACCCATCTTTCTCTGCTATCTGTCTGGGCTTCCAACTGGTGACCTTGTACTTCGAGATCATCTGGGTTTGCAGTAAACATAGACCAACCACCGATGACGATTTCTTTGCGAGCTTTTTCACGCAGCATGTCCGCATGTTGCGCGAGCAAGTAGGCAGATTGAACCTTCAGTGCTTGGAGCTCTGCGAGGATATCCTGTGCCTGTTCTTTCTCTTTGCGGTTCTCATCTTCCTTCACGTCCATACTTTCGTCTTCTCCAAGTCTGAGTTTTCTAGATACAGGTTCTGGTGTCAAACCTGTGGGTTCATGCTTTGCTTTCATGGCGCGCTCGCGAGGAAATGGAGAGAAACGAGGGGGGACAACAGCGTTTTCGAACCCAAGATGCTAGGGTTTAGGGTTTAGGTCTAAGAATCCACACAAACAGGTGCAGGAACCGCCCCCAAGCTGGCCACTTGACGGAAGGCAAATGTTCGGGTCATCCGAGGCAGAAGCGGACAACTCTTGCTTTTCAAGTAGACTAGAAGCAGAGGGCCCACGCTGCTGAGGATCAATCAAGCCCTAAACCCTAAACCCTAAACCCTACACCCTAAATCAAGTGGCAGCTGGACGAAATGACGGCCACATATCCGCTCTAAGCATACAAGCATTTCTATCCGGGCGCCTGCACAATTGTTCAAGCACTCTGTGTGCTTGTGTGGGCGCATCATGACGCATCAACAGAGGCTCTCCCAGCGGAGATCTTCTGATTGCGGCACCATGACAATTACCATGCACCTGTCTTTCTCGTGCCTTTAGGAACGTCAACGAGTGGTGTTTTTTTTGCGGATCCATGCTAGCACTTTGGACTTTCCCTGAATGTCGCCTGCAGGGTTTCGTGTTTAGGTTTTGTTTTGCCACCCGCCCAGCACTCACGTGTACCGCGGGAACCCCTTCAGGGGGATCTCACTAGTCGAAAATGTTTATAGGGTTTAAGGGCCACAACAGAAAGTCCCCGCCTGCAAGCGCCTTCAAGCCCTTGATGGAGCGGTAGATACGCAGCAGCCGGCAGATGCGAAGCATCTTCGCGATTCCGAGTCCCCCAGACCCGGGCACGGTGATGCTCACCTGGACCCCAAGATTGTTGGGGTTAGGGTTTAGGGTTTAGGGTTTATAGGGTATAGGGTATAGGGTATAGGGTTTAGGGTCCAGGGGCTTATAGGGTTTATCCAAAACCCACCTTGGTTTCTTTTTGCCACCTGCCTCGCTAACCTCTCGGACACACTGCAGGGCATGCTTGGTATAATTTTTTTGCCACCCGCCTAGCTGAAGTATGGTTTAGGGTTTAGGGTTTACGCCGCGCGGTCTCTATATCTGAGCAGCTGAGCGCCAGGATTTAGGGTTTAGGGTTTCGGGAAATGGGACCATGTTTGTCCAAGCAAGTGTATTCTTAGGATAGGAACATCTGTTGGCCAGCTCATGCGCCTCAACTGGGAGTTTGCTCGGTTTAGGGTTTGGGGTTTGGGGTTTAGGGTTTAGGGTGTAGGTTTAGGGTCTAGGGCTTAGGGTGTAGGGCTTCAGTCCGTGAAGCCTGCAGTGGGACCACTGCTGCTCGAAAACCTGCCCAACACACATATGCGGATGCCTCCAACTTCTTCTGGAGATGTTCTGCTCAGAAAATCATTTTGGAACATTGCTCCAGCAACCCATATGGTCACTTCTGTAAAAATATGGCCCCTTTGGGTCCTTACTAAGGCGGGCCCCGAATGTTGAGGGCACCCCCCAAAAAAAGGGACAATCACTTTGGGAACTGCCCATACGTAAGTGCCGCCGGCAGGCAACAACGTCCGCAACACTGAGGGTCACCAAGGTGTAGTCATAGACATTCCACGCATCCTCGGGAGGCCCCTAAACCCTAAACTCTAGACCTTGTCAACCCTAAACCCTAAAACAATGAAACACTAACACCCTAAAGCCCTAAAAAAAACCTAAAAAAACCCTAAACAACCCTTAAAAAAAGAGCCCTAAAACCCCTAAACACCGCGTAAGACCCCTAAAAAGCCCCAAAACCCCCAAGAAGCCCTAAGCTTTCGGAGGGCTTCAGGATGCTCGGAAGACCCTCCAGGCCACTTGAAGACGATGGTGGTACTTTCAAGTGATAGCTCTGGGTTGTACGCAAAAGGAGGGACCCCTAATGTAGTCCCCCAAATCATAGGATTCCCGTATAACAAGGACCCCAACAAGGCACCCCCCCTAACTTCGGAAACCCCCCAGACATTGTTGCTCATGCTGTTGCTGTTTTTTGCTGTCGTACTCCAAGAGCTTCAAGGAAATTCATGAAGCTGAGCTGACCCAGGTTTATCTTGGAGGGTTTAGGGTTTAGGGTTTAGGGCTTCGGCTCTCACACTCGCGCAAAGGCAGGCAAGGATTCGGTTCGAAGGTCCATCCTCTGGAAACTCACTGGGATTCCCGCAACCACACGACGCTGAAATAGACAAAAGGTGTTACAAATCCTCGCAGGAACCCCATGCAATGTACAACGATCTTCGTGGCTCTCACACAGCAACGTTGTCCGTGTGTCTACTATGTCCCCGGCAACTAACAATCGCAGGGAGGCTTTAGGGTTTAGGGACTGACTTGGTTTCCTTCCGGAACGGAGCTCCAGCCAAAAAAAACTTTTCCCCATTGGACCCGTGCTTAAAGCAGACAATCACAGATCGACTTAGGCCGCCACACACGCACAAGAGGCAAACCAGCGAGCACAAGTTAAAGCATACCCTAACCCTAAACCCTATTTAAACCCTGCACCCTAAACCCTTTTGCACAGCAAGAATAGGAACAAGCATGCAATCTGCCAAACTCATGTGTTCCTGCCACCTTTGACGGCGTGCGGTGGCCGGAAGAGTGCTGACATGGTGCTGCATCCCTAGACCCTAAACCCTAAACCCTAATTGAGTTTTTTTTGTTTCATTGTGTGGGGTGTTGTAATGGCATGGGTATCCTATGCGGGCCTACCCGTCAGCTCATGTTTAGTAGGCGCGCGGCCTACGCGCGGAGTATGTTGTTGACGTGTGCCTACGCGGACCTACGTTGCAAGCATAGACAACCTACGCGGACCTACGCGCCCATATGCGCCCATACTGCATGGACTTGCCTACGCGGACCCTACGCAAACCTACGCCCTGCAGGCAAAATGCTACGCGGCCGACTTTCAATGATCGCGTCTCTACGTAGCCTTGCCCCTAGAAAAAAAACGCTGCTCAATTAAACCCTGCACCACTTCATGCAGCCAAGCTTCAAGAAAGTAGTCAAATCCCAGCTGGTGAACCCGCAACAGGGCCTCCACCCCGAAGAACACGGCAAACAAGGCCTCCAAGGCAAACCAATACGATCGGGCCTCGGATCGGCGGATGCGCTCTTTCAAAACTGCACGTATTCACAATATGATAATTCTAGACTGGTCTTATCGTATAATGCTGGCAAACTATAACGCTAGTACTAGGATGGTAGAGTTGCTATAATTGCCAGACGCGCTATACTACTCGAATGTAATACGTCAATACCCGAATACTGTAATACTCGAATACTCTAATACTATGACTATACTGAAAAGACTATACTACTATATAAGTATAAGACTATAACAGTTTCATGTCTGGTTATCTTGCTTGTCCGACCAGCAAGGGAGAAAAGTAAAACTTTATTTTTCCTACTAAATAAGGAAGCCCAAAAAGCTTAAAGTTCAACTAGTGGCCAAGTAAGTTATAGTCTAACTCTACTGAAAAGACTACATTGCTAGATAGCCATAAGACTATAACCGTTTCATATCTGTTTAGGGTTTAGGGTTTAGGGTTTAGGGTTTAGGGTTTAGGGTCTTTAAATGAGACCCTAACCAAGCACCTCATCATCAAGAAAGCGAGCCCCTCGCCTCCAGGTCCCGGCTTCGCTGCATGTCTACCTCAATCCCGATGACCACCTGGGTGCGTCGGAAATTGTGAACTGCAGGGTTTAGGGTTTAGGGTTTTTGCCAACCCCCCCCCCCCCCCCCCCCGCAGACAAGCCACACTGCAGGGCAACATTTCGGGTAGTGTTTAGGGTTTATGCAGCGCTATCTCTGAAGAGCAGCAATCTGAGCGCGAGACGAAAAGCCCGATGCACGGTTTTAGGGTGTAGTTTTTTTAAACCCCCCTCTAAGCCCATCTAGCCACAGCACAGCGGGAGGGCTGGGGCTTAGGGGATAAACTTGCAAACCAAAACTGCCAATTGAGTTGCAGTATGGCACCTTCTTAAGAAAGCTGTCGAAACGACGACAGCTTTCTTTCCTGAGTCAACTCGGCTTTCGTGAGGTGGGGGGGAAAAAATTCTTTGCACTCCATTCATCAACCTGACAGAGCAGATCAACCAAAAACTCCAGCCCAAAGAGAACAACGGCAAATGGTTGGGTTTGGATGACTTCTGACCCAGTGGCAGTGTTGCACAGTATCATGACCAGCACAAGCAGGTTGAAGCCCGCGGAAGAGGCTGGATGCTTCCTGAGCTCACCATCTCTCCCAAATGCTTAGGGCACAAGGCTGCAAGCAAATATCATGCTCGTCATGACGCTACCTTGGTCGCCACAGCGACCCGACATTTTCCACATACCCTCATAAAGGCTGGTAAAGGCCGGCGCGGTTTCGGAGAAATCGAGGAAACGACCCAAGATTTGTTTGGAGAGCATTTGGGCCCAAAGATCATCATCGTGGCAGAACCCATGGGAATAGTGCAGACCAGGATGCCTCTGCGCAATGACCTGCTCTCCTTAGGAAGTATCCGCGGGTAGGGAGAGTTGGGCAACAACTGGGAGCTTCTCAACATCTTGAACTCTCCTTCTACAATCCCAAGCTTAAATAGTAGAATGTCTTAGAAGGACCCCAAAAAAGACCGCTGAATTTCAGAAACTCCAGGTCGAAACGCAGACTCCAAGAGAGCAAGACAAGAAGCGAGAAACCGACTATGGGAAGATAACAGTAGGTGTCTAAATCCACTAGCTACACATTTCTTCAAGCGTCATGCCCTGGGTAGAATGATGTTGTATGTTGGGTTTGAAGTTGGTTCTATCGTTTCATCCCCAACATGAACCAACTGCGCCCAGTGGCACCACCATGCCCGGGTGGGCTATGGCCCATATAATCCCTCTGAAAGGCACTTTTGTATAAGGTTGCTTCTGGAGATCATACGGCCTAGTAGACCTGATCTTTGATAGCCCATCCTGGCATTCAAATGCCTTCTGAGGGGCGCCATCGGACTTGGAGCTGCTGAAAGACGGTCGGCACCAGCTTAATCTGCGGTCGGTGACCTAGACTCTGCGTTCGTTATCGCTGGCTGGCTCTTCGTAGAGAATGAGGGAATGAGGCCCCGATATATACCCTTTACGGGATTATATAGACCCTCATTCCCTCATTCCCTACTAAGAACCAGGGGTATCAAGCATGGGCCCGAAGAAAAGCCGCAGAAGGCATCCAGGATATTCCAGGATGGAAGGATAATTCACCACAACATCACGCCCCATGAAATGAGTAGTATTCTAGCATCTGCCACACCGACCTCTTTGCCACCAACAGCTGAATATCATGTGAAGTCGTCCCCATGAAAGTGCTCAAAATGAATCATCTTCAGCTCCTTGTCACTTAATGGGCCTCACGCATCTTGAATCGTTGGCTGAGTGCACTGTGAAGAGAAGTGGGCTGCACCTGGCCTTACCCTGCCGATAAGTTGCTGTAAGGCTTCCCCTTCTTCTTCTGGAGTAGCATGGAGGCCACGTCTGCCGCCTTGGTGGCACAAAAGGCTTCAGGAAGCACGAGGTCTGCTAAGCTGAGCCTAAACTACTATAGGACCTGAAACCCTAAACCCTAAACCCTATAAAACCCAAACCCCAGACCCTAAACCCTAACGATTCGGGGGTTCCAAGGCGATGTCGAGGTGCTTGGCGGTGCTGCGCGGCGCCTCCTCGTAAGCCGCCGCCGCCATCACTCTTGAGCCATATATAGCTACCTGACCCGTTTGCGGGTGCAAAAGGCCTCACAGGGCAACATAGCCTGCGCAAAACCCAATCCCAGTCTACCACGCTGACGGGGGCCGGGGGTTTAGTTGTTTTTTGGCCACCTGCCTAGCTGAGACTCATGACGCATGGCAGGGCACTGCGTGAAAAAAACAACTTGACCTGCAATGTTCAGCAGGAACATGTTCGGTAACATCCTGACCCGAGTTCAGACTTGACACAGACACAAGCTCCCCCATCGCAACCCGTTCACGCTCTTCATCAACCCTCGAAACCCGACACAAAGGGAACTCCTCCAAGTGGACCAGCTAGGTATCAAAGGTCCCTGAGTTCAAGTTTATTAGGGGTTTAGGGGTTTAGGGCTTAGGGCGCAGCACCCACTATTCAAGCCGATGCACAGCTCATGTGCGAGCAGCATACACAGCCCCAGAAAATCAATGGGGGTTTCCTTTTTTAGGGCTTGCCTTACTACATTATATTTCATTATATTATATTCTATTCTATTGTATTTCTTTTTTATGAAGGAATCCTACTATTTTGGGGGGGGGGTCTATAGTCCGGGGCCCTTCTTTTTGTAAACCCCCAAGTAAGTGAAGGCTGCGAATCAACAAAAACGAAGCCTCGGTGTGCCCCCAAGCCCGCCTGTACCACATTGGCAATTTCCAGCTCTTACTCGCCCTGCCTATTGAGTCTCGGGCCCTAAACCCTAAAACCCTAACCCCTAAAAACCCACCTCTTTGCAGCCCAGATCATCCCTGGCGGAATTCAACCCCAAGTCATCCGATATGTCCGAGGCGCCCATGATGCTTTCTTGCGAAGTGCGGCCGGGGAGCGTGCGGGAACTGGCGTCAGCGTTATGAGGGCTGAGAGTATTTGGGCGGCTTTCTTGGAGTCCACAGTGGTGAGCTTCAGATGCTTCAGCAATCAGTGCAATAGCGGCTTCTGTAGGAGTTGATCTTGGGCAACCGTTGGGACTGTTGGGTGTTGCTGCAAGGGTGTGTTTTTTCAGTAAAAAGCGAAACGAATTCTCATACAGGGAGATTTAAGGCCCCGGTCATTGCCCATAACCCCCATGGGGCCCCCATAGCTCGACAGAATTGCAGACCTCGAGGCTCAAGCACTTTTTCGTCTGGGAATGTCTGGGCATGTCGGGCACAATTCGTCGTCGGGGTTCTCGCAAGGTAGAAGCTTCGGCGGTCTTCCAGAGGCTCGTGCGCCTGGTCGACATCATGTCTGGATCTGGAGAGCATGCGTACCGGGTCACTGTCTCACGCGGCATCGAAGGATTGCATGATGCCGCCCGTTCATGGGAGGGGATCAAAGACTTCACGCAGCCCATGGCCGAGAATAGCTCGCATGCTCGGAGAATCGGGCCGAGTCGGGCCCACGTTGTCCAGTGGATGCCACCCAGGATGGGCTACTAGGCCCTACATCTCCCATAAACAGCCCTAGAAAGGCCCTTTGTTAAGGGGTATAGGGTCTAATGGCCCATCTTGGGCTGCACTACTGTGCTAAATGCGTGTCACTCGCATGTCACAGGCCGACGAGGCTTCGCTGGCACACCTCCGCTTTGGTGTTGTAGCCTGGTAGCGTGCAAGCCATGTCAGTCAAGCAAGGCTCAAGAAAGTCACGCTCTGCCTTCTGAAAAGCCCAGCCGCAACTAGGATCAACAGCGCCTCCCCGTGAGTTGTAGTAATAGCTACAGATATCATGCTTCAGGCAATTTCTCGACCAGTTGGAGCAGAGTCCAGGAGACGGGTCCTGACAGCCAATGCCACACCGTCCCAGGCAGTCGTAGGAGTCCCCATCAGAATCGAGGCCCCAACACTCCCCAGCCTCCACACGGATTTCTGTGCACTCCCCTCCCTGCTCCGGCGGTCCACGAGTGAACTGCACCACCAAGGCCTGTCCGGGTTCAAGCTGCCCGGCGCGCGCTCGGCACCTCGTCACGTCCCTCGCCGGAAGCGTTGCCGCCGTGGCCGCGCGGCGCGGCTCCACTTCCAGCCTTCCGCACGTCACGAAGCGCCCTTCCGTGCAGTTGCTGCGGATGTGGGGCGTGCAGGGTCGAGATGCTGGAATGCCGCGCAAGGCCATGGCCAGACACTGGATCAGAAGCAGCACCCTCATCAAGCTCAGAAGCGAATCAACTGTGACGCTACGAAGCCAAAGAACCAGAAGAAACCTGGAAGTTAGCGCAGGGCATTCCCTCACAACGTATTCATTGCTTCAGCCAGCGACTTGAGCCATTTTTGACTTAGCTGCGAACTGACAGGTCGCCCAAAATAGCAGGTGATGGGATGGCGAAAACTTGTCTAATTTGACATGCACAACGCACAACGAGCCAATACGAGCCATGGGCCTTTGCCGCGATGTGCTCGTCCCGGCGGCGTATACGCCGCGTAACGTGCATGGGCTGGACTGGCAGAGCAGGCAGAAGATGATTTCAGCTGGACCCAGCCTGGATTCTACATGGGCTACGCCTTTTGCCAGGCCTCTTAGACGGCCTCAAAAGTGAACTCTTCACATCAGCTTCTCAGGCGCCACACGTGCACACAGATTTGCTTGGGGCCTGCCGTCCATGGCAGCGGTGGCTGCAGCATGCTCAACTTACCATGGGTTTAGGGTCTAATTAGGGCTAGGGTGTATGTGCGTGATGCAGCGAACGCATAGTGACAAACGCAGTATGCTCCATCCAGTGGACCGCAAGATTCTGGCGGAAACCAAGTTCATCAAGGGGTCGTGGTAGGGAATGACTGACCCTTCCCTCCCTCTACCTGTACACTGTGCATGTCACCACTGGGCTATTTCGATAAACACAAAGCTCGGGCAGAAGTTGTTGTTGTCGAGTCTTGCAAGGACGGGAACGTGGAGTGAACGGTATCCTTTACCTGTAGAAAGTAAAGATGCAGGCAGTGTGCATGTACCAATGCTTCAAGCACCACGGATACACAGAGTGTTCTGTGACACATCAAGGACGGTTGCAAGGAAGGGTTCGTAGTGGTCGCGGGCTTTTTCCCCAGCGTGCCGCACAGCGCCTGTGGGCCCATCCTACAACTACTCCACAGAGAGATCGGGATTCTCCGCCTGCGATACTTTCGAACCTCATCCTTGTTTTCAGCCGGTCATCCCACATCCCACTGCAGTTCTCAGCACCTTGCAACTGAGTCGGGCTCTCAGCCTCCTGGGTCAGCTGCCGGCGACCCCATCAAAAAGTTTTTGCGACGCACGAGGTGCAGGAACAGAAACATTTAAGCATCACCATCGCATTCCTTCACATCCTTTGCCACTCCACCCACATCTGTCCCTCTTCATCACGTGAGCGAACCTGCAGTATCGGCACCAATTCAGACGTTCACATGTGCACCTCGTATGTGAGGATATTTATGTTCATCTCTATTCACACACTCATAAGTGTATTAAATACATCTTATGTTATATTTATATTCATATTCATATCTAAATTTCTATTTGAATGTATTTGTGAATTTATACGTATTTATATACATGTGCTAATATACTGAGCTCCGGGCCTGAACTGTTAAGGAGCGGCCCATCAGGGCAACATCCACAGATCGAGCGAGATCCGTGTGTATGGCGACCTCATGGACAAAGCGACGACAGCGTGTGACTTTCGAAAAAAAGGGGGGGGGGGGGGGGGGCGGATCAATGACGCCAAGTGCTCCACTGACAGCGGGCTCCTGATCTCGATCAGCGCAGAGAACCTCAGAGAAGGTGGTCTTTAGGGTTTGGGGTTTAGGGTTTAGGGTTTAAGGTTTAGGGTTTAGGGTTTATCCTTCAGATGTCACTCTTGTGCAGAGCCATGCAAACACCAAGCTTTGAGCTTGTCCACAGAATCGGGCCCCGGCACAGGTCGACAGGACCTTTCCGACACCGTCTTTCCTCATTCGCCCGGGGGGTGTGCGGAAGGGGCGCCACGTTGAACGGAGCATACATCACATTGTAGTGACCTAAACCAGCCCTCAACCCCTTAAACCCTTATAACCTTAAGCCCCCTTTGTTTTAAAATCCTCAACCCTCAACCCACAAAGCTGCCAACCAGCAAATCTTCAAATCCATCCGGTGGCTCAGCGCCGAGCCCAAGATCCCTTTGCCCTCCCCCACCCAAGCCCCTAAGACCCCCTTTTTGAACCCGTTTCGGGTTCTTAGGGTTTTTAGGGTTTATAGGGTATGGGTTTATAGGGTTTATAAGGTTTATAGGGTGTATGGGGTTTATGGGGTTTCAAAACCCTTGCGGTTCAGAGTTTAAGGCTTCGACCCTCACACGCGGCAGGCAAGGAGTCGTCTCAAACAGCCGCTCGATCAGGGTTTAGGGTTTAGGGTTTAGGGTTTAGGGTTTAGGGTTTAGGGTTTAGGGTTTAGGGTTTAGGGTTTAGGGTTTAGGGTTTAGGGTTTAGGGTTTAGGGTTTAGGGACCCTGGGCTGCCAGCTCCCAGAGGCTTTGTATCGTTCGTTGGCCTCGGCAAAGCAAGAGGGGGCCCCACCATGGAAGTCAGCAAAGAGCTGAGGTTGGGTTTAGGGTTTAGGGTTTAGGGTTAGGGGTTTGGGTTTAGGGTTTAGGGTTTAGGGTTTAGGGTTTAGGGTTTAGGGTTTAGGGTTTAGGGTTTAGGGTTTAGGGTTTAGGGTTTAGGGTTTAGGGTTTAGGGTTTAGGGTTTAGGGTTTAGGGTTTAGGGTTTAGGGTTTAGGCACATTTCCGCTTTCAAGGAGAGATCTCCATGGTTGCTCTTTTGAACTTCTGGGTAAAAACCCTTCTTGTCAAAAACATCATCTTCGTGGAGTGCTCGGTGCTTTGCAGGACATGCCGGGAATATGCACCACGAATGGGCTTCACAAGGGTCCTGTGCACGTTCTTTTGCAACAAGTGTCTGTATGGCAAGGCGCACGGATCTACAGGAGGGGGGGGCGCGGGCTTAAACCTTAAACCCTAACCCCCCCCAACAACACCCACACCGCAGTTGGAGGGGGGGGGGGGGGGGGGTGCGGGTGAGGGATACAAGGCAGGGTGGGGGGGGATACCATGGGGGTGGGGGGATCCCTGGACCATATATAATATTTATATATATATATATATATAGAGAGAGAGAGAGAGAGAGAGAGAGAGAGCGAGAGAGAGAGAGAGAGAGAGAGTGAGAGAGAGAGAGAGAGAGTTGCAAGTCTGCTAGAATGACTTCAAAACCGTTTCTTGAGTACTTATATGACCCAGCAACAAGTCTCCCCTAAACCCTAAACCCGAAACCCTAAACCCTAACCTGAGCTCCGGGCATCGCCTACTGTGGAGGTCGCAATTCCGCCCGCCAAGTCCCGGAGGTCAGTGTTGGAGAGCCTCACATAGAAGGAGGCGTGCGATCGAAAGCGGGTTAGGTTTCATTTAGGGTACCGAGCCCCCAAGCATACATGGTACCTCTGAGGGTTCGAGGGTTGAGGGGATTTGGAAGTCTGTTGCATGGCTATCCTTCGGAAGCTGCTGGTAGGTAGTGGCCCTCGAGCCCGTGGCAGGTCAGAAAGGTTGTGGCCGTGCGCAGTGGCCACCAGCTGAACACCTCCATTCACCAAGCCACAACAGCAGAACCATGCTTGGTGGCAAAAGGTTTCGGGAATTCGGGTTTCGGCAGATTTCAGGTTTAACAGGGTTGAGCTGATGGATGAACTTTCGCAAGAATCGAACGCACACCCGTTACGTTGCCTGTTGGCCGGAAGCCCGGTAGCTAGACAATCCGATGGCTTGACAATATAATTAATAGACTAGATCCACCGCTAGATTGTTAATAGCGTTCCTGCCCCAGTTTTCTTTAGGGAGGGAAGGTGGGGTTAGCATTCTTCTGCCGCCCTATTCCATCTCTGCGCATGGTCGCCGGCCTCGCTCTCCGATTGTGCGAGCCTCAGATGCTTCACTTCCGATCCAACACATGTTGAGGTAAACCCTAAACCCTAAACCCTAAACCCTAAACCCTAAACCCTAAACTAGGGTTTAGGGTTTAGGGTTTAGGGTTTAGGGTTTAGGGTTTAGGGTTTCTATCCACCCGCTGCTTCCCCACCCCCCGTCTACTGTACCCTGTCCTGCTTGCTTGTTCTTCTTGCTTTGCCACTCCCACATTTGGGGTGCCGTGCCTCTATATGAGACTGCATGTTGCAACAAGTGATTGCACGAAGCCTCTCGAAGCCCTGAAGGCTAACAGCACTTGACAGATGCGCGATCTCCGGTTCCCTAAACCCTAAACCCTAAACTCTAGACCCTAGACCCTGGACCCTAAACCCTAAACCCTAAACCACCACAGCTGGGGCTCTTGCAGCTTGCGCTTCTCCCTTCGTGCCAATCTCGTCGACGACGAGGACTTTCGGCCTGATGAGGGTTTAGGGTTTAGGGTTGAGGGTTTATAGGGTTTAGGGTTTATAGGGTTTAGGGTTTACAGGGTTTAGGGTTTAGGATTTAGGGTTTAGGGCACACTGCGGTAATCACAACTAGTCAAAAGTCCAACCTGCCTTCCGCAATAGGCAGCTACCCATTGCTGCAGCAAGATGAGCGCAAGACGTCATGTTCTCGAGAACACGGGTCATGGCCTCCCGGCGAGCCTGCATGCGCGAGCTCTCTGCCGCAATGCAAGCATTCTCAACTTGAGTTTCGGTCGCACGGGACTGCGCGCTTGCCGACGCGCGCACCTCGCTTCTCGTCCTCATGCTGCGCGAATATGCCTCGCTGCACACACCAAGAAGCGACAGGGGCAGCAACCCGGCCGCTGAGTCGGCGCACTCGTCCCCACTTAGGTCACTGAACCGTAACAGTCAACCCTACGCACATGTTGCCGAGCTCAGGGCCATGTCTTTCAACGCTCTCCCCACCGCCTTGTGCGGTTGGTCGCCACCTGTTCGAAGATTCAGGTCCAAGGCTGCTGTGAGTTACGCGCGCCCTCGTTGCCAGTGCACCCAATGGAAAGAAGGCCAACAGTGAACTCCATCTAATAGTCTTATTAATAATAAGAATATTCAGAATACCAATAAATCAGAGCAGCGTGGACTTAGTTCTGCCACCACTCCCTCAGCTGGGAGCCAGGCACCCAGCGATCTCGCCGGCCGGATCCACCTTGAAGCGCATCTATCTACATCCGAAGCCGCAAGTCAGTGCGATAGCTGCAGTTGACCAGTCTATCAGTGCCCTAAAGAGCCACGGAAAAACCAGGGTTCCCGTGAACATTTACCGGAAGAAGTCCTTACGTATTGCAAAGTAGTACAGTAGCCGTTGAGCAGCTGCACCATAAGTAGCAGCAGTAGCAGACGCAGTAGCAGCGATAGGCCAGGCTTTAGCCACATAGCGGCAGCGGTGGCGGCAGGAGCAGCAGCAGCAGCAGAAGCAGTGTAGCAGATGTATCAAGCGAAGCAACAGACTACGTAAAACAAATCACAAACACGACACTTCGAAAAGCGGAAAGACAAGAAAACACAAGGGAAACCCAAAACTCGCAAAAAGGAGAACCAATGAACACGGGTAGACGGATGCAGCACACACAAAGACCTACATCATCATTGCTACGACCATTCTTATTCATTATCCTTGTCATTATTGTCATGAATATTATTATTATTCGTTTTTATTTTCATTCTTCGAATTGTTAGTACGAATATTGCTATTAGTATTATTATATTCGTATTATTCTTATTATCAGAGTAATAGTTTCTCAAATGACTTATGGCATGATATCAATACATTGTCATATATTAAGATACTGTGATATACGATTCTAGATCAGAATAATATACATATATATATATACATACATATAACTTTGATTATGTGTCATTATCATTGCTATTGCTTTATATACTTTTATATGGGCATTATCATGTATGTTCATGCTTTATAGAGCATTACATGACTACTAGAACATAGACACACACGCACTGAGTAATCAAGGACGAGGCCAAACACGGAAGGGACAAACGAATGGAGGAAGGCACATCACAAAAAACAACACAAAAAGGGTTTAGGGTTTAGGTTTAGTCTGTGGTTGCAAGGGTTGCAGGTTCTTGTGGTCTGTGTTCGTCGGCCGCACAGGATTCTGGAGAGGGTGCCGTTCTAGGATTTCGGATGTGCAGATGTCACCACACACCGGAAACTGCACAAGTTCAACACCATCAGATGGGGTTTAGGGTTTAGGGTGCCTTGTAAGCAGTTAAAATGAATCGACTTCAGGTTTCACAGCTGTAGGTCGTCTTGAGGACCCAGATGCACGCGCAAAAATCTAAACCAAGGTCGGGCCAAGGCATTGGGAGGAAAGTTTTTCGGCACTTTGTGTTCTTTGTTTTTGTTTTGCCCTTCTTTGTTTCGATGTGGCTTACAGATGTTTACCGACCTTAAGTGAATCTGGAAGCTTGCAGCTGCTTCATGCTAGGACTGCATTTTTGAACCCTAAACCCTAAACCCCAAACCCCTAAGCCCGAAACTCCTCTTTGAACCCTAAACCCTAAACCCCAAACTGCCCGAAACTCTGCATCGCCCCAAGCTCCGGGCAATAACTGTTGGGCGCGTTTTGGACATGGTGGCGGCCTCGGGGTGCGGGACTTAATCAATGAGGGTTTAGGGATTGTTTTTGCCACCCGCTTAGCGGTTTAGGGTTTTTGGCCCGCGCTCTCTGCCAGCAGTGCTCCGCGCTCCCGTTGCTTTCCGAGGCCGCGGCACATGTGGCCGAACCCCCAGAGCATGCACACACTCAGGACTTTTCAATGAGGCCCGCTCCCATAGGAAGCACTCAGCCCCACTTCAATAAGCCCCGGGCCACAGCCAGAATCCCACTATATTGTCGGGTTTAGGGTTTAGGGTTTAGGGTCAGGCAGGGCTTCGGTAGGTCCAACTCGCTCGAGATTTAAACGCTCGGAGCAGGGTTTAAGGGAGGGGAGTTCAAGGGGAGTACGCAACCCAAGATTCCCTCCACTACTCCCCAAGGCTCCCTAAGCTTCTGTAAGGTTCCCTATAAGCTGAGCAGCCTGTGGGCAAGTAACCCCACAGGCCTCCGCCTCACCCGGGTGCATAGCTCATGAGACTAGAACCAAGCAACCCCAAAACCCTAAACCCTAAACCCTAAACATCCCTAAACCCTAAACCCATCAGGCCAGAGCAACTCAACAACAGGCTCTGAAATTACATGGGGGTTCTGCGAGTCCTTATTATTCAAGGGGTCTATTTTCGGCGTACCCGACTTTTTCGTAAACACCCACATGAAGCATGGCCCCCATGAAGACGCGCTAGATCGAAGCGCTGAGGGGAACACGCAAGCACGCAGCAGGGTCGTCTTCCCCACCTGACAGCGCAGGAATGTTTAGGGTTTAGGGTCGGCACGAAGCAAGTCTCATCGGTTCAGTTCACACACATTCCGCAAACTCTTTTGGTCGCTGTGACGCAGCGTGTCATGGTTTGGCCCATGAGCGTGCGAATTTTTGTGCACACTGATCCGTGCATCTGGCGATCTTACTGTTACTGGTAAAGGCCGCCAGTCCCAAGGATTTCATGCGCCGGTCCCTTGCAAGTCGCAGGTACAAGAGACAAGAGACAAGTGTGTACTCTCAAAGGTTCAAGGCAGCGCATGAGCCAAAAATCGGAGAGCTCTGTCACCGATTGCAACCTTGGTTATTCTAAATATCCAAGGGCTTTAAAGTCTCCTGCGCAACATCGCCACGGATGCCCAGAAGCTTCCTTAAGTGCCATTAAAGACAGATGTGGGAGTTTACGAAAAAGAGGGGGCACCTAGTATAGACCCCCCAAAATCAGAGGATTCCCTTAGAATGAGGGCCCCAATAAGGTACCCCTAATTTCGGAAACCCCACATGTGGCACCAGTCCGTTCCACACTCGGGAGATGTCCTCCACGCGTTCCCCCCTTGAAAAAGTGCCGTGGGGAGCGAACCTAAACCCTAAACCCTAAACCCTAAACCCTAAACCCTAAACCCTAAACCCTAAACCCTAAACCCTAAACCCTAAACCTTAGGCGGCTAGGGACATCACGGAAGTGGCTTTGGCTCCCGGGTCTTCACCCGTAGCAGCTGGAGAGGCCTTCTTGATGTCGTGAGAAACGATGCGGCTTTAGAGGGTTTAGGGTTTAGGTTTTAGGGATGTTCTATATTAAGTATTTGTTACAATTTCTAGTATTATTCTTATGCCTATTTTTCTTATTAGCTGTTGTAATTGTGTTGGGGCCATTTAAGGGTGCATGTGTGCACAAGGGTGTGTGGGCACAGAACACCCAGAAGCTGTGTGCCCACAGAACACCCAGAAGCTGTGAATACATCGGCCTACAAGCTGCTCACGGTATTGGACCCTGATTCCTAGGGTTTAGGGTTTAGGGTTGAATCAAGCTACACGCGAAACAAGCAGAGCACACAAAATCACAAAGCAAACAAAGCAAACACAACAAAAAAATCAAACAAAACAAGCAAAAAACCAAAACAAGCAAACCAAGCAAAACAAACAAACCAAAGAAACAACAAAACAACACGAAACAACCATATGCGGCTGCAAATAACTCACCCCGACCGGCCCATTTCCAGTAACTGGGCGCACACTTGTGACGCGCGAAGGCACATTGAGGATCCCGGTAACCCGTCAGCACTTTTGGCACCTGAGGACAAATGCCAAGGGTAGTTTCATGGGCCCATGATGTGGTCCCTTACCCTCTTTAAAGGTTCTGATGTAAGAGTCCTTAATTTGTACAGAGTATATACGGGGCCCCCTTTTAAGGCCCATACTAAGACCCTAAGAAGAATCCAATCTCCAAGCGACCACACTATCACGAGAATCGCGGCCCCAACACGCCCGACCGCTGCAAGCACTCTTGACCTGCAAAGACTCCAAACCACGACGACGACGACATACGACGACGAAGCTACAACAGCAGCAACAAGGGCTCCTGCAAGGAGTTTGCTGATGGCTGCAACTAACTTGGTGCATTGCATCACCTGTTTTGCTTGCCCACCTCAAGCCTGCCAGCATTGCATATCCAGGCCAGGCGGGCAACTAGGCACAGATACGGTCTCTCCAACTCGCGTGCAGATGAATTCGCGGGGTTCTGACACCAGTTCTAGGATGGCACTGCGGCAGGCACTGTAGTCGATGTGCAACAACACCCCACAACAGCCCAGCAAGTGCATGTTTGCACGAATTGGAAATATGCAGCAAGCCCCCCCCCCCCCCGGTGAACCCTGCACATCGTATCGTAGCTCAAAAGAAATGTATGTAGTCATTCGTCACCGATGCAGAACCCGCAGTATATATAGCGTACAGTGAAAGAACGGGTGAGATCTGCCGTCCCACAACGCAGCCTCGTGGACTGGGCGATGGCCACAGCCAAGGGGCCACGAGTGGACTGCCTTTTTGTCCTAGTAGCCCAGTAGCCATCTTATAATCAGGGACCCTTTTTTTGGTCGGTTACTTTAGAAGGGAACCCAGAACCACAAAAAGGGTAAAGGGTACCACTGGGCTGCTAAGCTGTTGCCTCTCGACTTCAGGCGCCGCCCGCTTTGAGAAGCGGGGACTGCGGGCTGTTTGGGGCCTGGGCCACGCGACTGGTCAGAACGACAGAGTGGCACCGAAGCGGCTACGGTTGTGGGAGGGTCATTGCGGCATCGCTGAAACCCCCCTAAAACCTCCCAAAAAACCCAAAACCCCTTAGAAACACAAAGTCTTTGGCGAATGCCTCCGGCATCGGCGATAAAACGGCGCAAGTCAGAACTCCGGCAACCCTAAACCCCTAAACCCCTAAACCCCTAAACCCCTAAACCCCTAAACCCCTAAACCCCTAAACCCCTAAACCCCTAAACCCCTAAACCCCTAAACCCCTAAACCCTAAACCGAGGGGCAACATCCTTGAAGTGCTCATTTCGCATCAGCATCGGCACGGTGTCGTTGCCTTTGATGACTGCCTCGTGCCAAGTGTTCAGGCCTCTTGAACAAACTCTATGCAGCCAAGGATGGCAATAATAATGGCAATGATAATTCTAAAAATTATACTAATAATAATAATAGTAATGATAATTCAAAAAATATACTAATAATAATAGTATTAACATGTAGTGATAGTAGTTATTAATATGAAAAATATTACCCTGAGCAACCTCCTGCTTCAGACAAAGGGGCGGCATCTCCATCAAACTCTTCGATCGAGACCTCAGAGGATGGAATCTCCAAAGGCTCGCCAATAGGCTTAAGGTTGAGGGTTTAGGGTTTTAGGGTTTCTGCAGCACCATCTCCAAAGAGCGGGTTTTAGGGTTTAGGGTTTAGGATTTAGGGTTTAGGGTTTTAGGGTTTTAGGGTTTAGGGTTTAGGGTGTAGGGTTTAGGGTTAGGGTCCAATGGTACAGCACATGCTACCACCCAAGGAACTGAGGCTCGTGCACTTTCGTCCACTGTCTCTACCCGCAAACCATGCGGCTCGTTGCTGATGGAAATGCGCCCAAGATTCGGGACCTAGGCCGCCATTGGAGGTTCAAGGGCTGCAGTTGTGGTGCTGCTTACTTCGATGGACTTCAGGCACTGTTCTCTTGGCAAGTTCTTTGCCCCCCCAAAAAACCGTAAGCATCTCCACCAGCATCGCGATGAAAAATGCCTGACCCTCGAGTTTCTTCAACCGAAGCGAAAGGGCGACGTGAAGTCCGCGAAGTGGGACATGTTTTTTGTAAAAAGCATTCCGATACGAAGGCTTTAAGCAGACCGCGTACGTGAAAACCTGACATTTCCGTTCTGCTTGTCTGACCTTCCGATTCAACCGTGCTCTGCCCTAAACCCTTTGCAACTGGACTGCGAAAAAACTGCCCTAAACCCTTTTTGCAACTGGGCTTGAGGACCCGCCAGATTCATCTCCAAGCATCAGCATCTCACCCCAAAAACTGCCCTAAACCCTATACTCTAAACCCTAAACCCCTAAAACCCCAAAACCCCAAAAAAACCCAAAGCCCTACACCGTTGATATTTTGAACCCAGACTCTTTACGTCAGCTGGCAAACCCTGAACCTAAGATTTCCGAAGGCTTTGGATCCCTGGGAGGACATTCAGCGAGCCTCCCAGGGCTTAGAGTTTTTTAGGGTTTAGGGTTTAGGGTTCAACAACTTACGCCCTCCTTTTCATCTGGGGCTCAAAAACCCTAAGCCCTGCCAGGGTTTAGGGTTGGAATGTTCCCCCTCATACTAACAGTCCTTGATAGGATTATAACGGGGGGGTACTATAATCCCAGTTAAGGAGTGATAGTATAGGGGGGGAACATCCCATGTTTAGGGTCACAACTCCTAAACTACTCTAAGCTGAGGTAAGTGAAGGGCCGGATGCCCCCTCCACTCCCCTGAAGGCAGCCCCTGGGCCCGACTTTTGCTGTGCCGATTTAGGGTTTAGGGTTTAACCCTAAACCCTAAAACCCCCTTTTGCAACAGGCTTGCCACCTAAACCCCCTAAACCCTAAACTTGAAGACTGAAAAAATACCAGATTCTAAACCCTTTTCTACCAGGGCGCTGGTTGAGGGTGGAGGGTTGAGGGTCTGCCAGAACAATCTCAACCCTTTGCCAACGCGGCTTCTGCGACTTCACGCCCGTTAGGCCGTTAAGCTCCCGCCCTTTCAACATCTGAACCCGAAACCCTAAACCCGAAACCCTAGACCCTAAACCCTAAAGGCCCAAAGGCCCTGCGCCGGGAGACCTGGATCTTCTTGGCTGTATGGAGACCTGTGCGAATGAAGATCGTGGCACGAGGCTCCACCAGGTAGCCGGACCTAAGCCCCCATCGTTTGTTGATGCTTTCTGTTTCCTTAAACCCTAAACCCGAAACCCTACACCGTTTTGCCGCTCGGAGAAGGGGGGGGAGGGGGTTGTTGCTTCTTGCATTCTCCACCCTTGCGAGCGCGTGTTTCGATGTGAACTCTCTCCCTGTTGCAGGGTGGGGGTGCGGGGTTCCTGGTCAATATGGCCCAGGAATGAATACTCATGCAGCCTTCTGATCCACCTCCATCCAGACTTGCGCAAGAAATCCAGGCCTAGTGCGTACCTCTATTGGGGGTTACCTTATTGGGGTCCTTCTGAAACGGAAACCCTTCTACTTGGGCTTATTTTAGGGGTCCCTTATCTTCATAAGCTCCCAATTCATGTCGAGGCACATGATGGCATGCTCACCGGGTGGAACCTGCATAGATGAGAACATGAGTGATTGCTGGATCCAACTCGAGGGCTTCTACTTGGAGGTTCATGGCACTTGCTAACTAATCATAACTGTACTTATCACTGTACTTCTGGCCATATTAGGGCACCTAAGGGGGTTTATGAGTGGGTGAAAAAGTACAGTCATAATTGGTTAATAAGTACCTCCAAGCAGGGTTTTGGGAGCGTACGTCGGCAATGGCAAAACCAATGGCTGGCCGCTTGCCTGATGTTCAATGCCATTGGCAGGGCTCGCATCTCCATGATGTCTGGCCTCCCAAGGCCCACCAAAGCACCAAAAAACTAAGCCCTAAACCCTAAACCCTAAACCTAAACCCTAAACCCAAACCCTAAACCCTAAACCCCAAGGCAAGATGGATCCAGCATCCTTTTGCCCTGATCTCGCAGCAGCTGGTGCAAACTTGCGCAGCCTCGATCAGTAGAAGAGGGGTCTGCATGTTGTTCACAACAATGATCTCTGTGGTGAAGGGGCTGACATCCCTGACCTGAAGGAAAGAACAGAAAGGCATTTGACAGGAGTGACCCTGTGAGCCCAACATGGACTCGTTGGCCAACTTTCAGCTGAGGGACTGTGTCACAGTGGAGATGCGATCCGGACAAACCCATGGCCAAAGGTCTGCGAGAGACGCCAAGCAAAGGCGCACGGACACCAAACGCGTTCGCAAAAGCTGCACTGACAACTGCACGCGGCTGCGGCATGAATTCAGAAGTTAAGAGCACTCCTGACTGCTAGACTCTTGTGCCGATGCACGTAGGCCTACCTTTGTCATCTCACTGCGTAGCAGCCGTCAGCCGTCATACACACGGCCCTAAACCCTAAACCCTAAACCCTAAACCGGAATGGGTCCCGTGCTCCAGGAGGGCCCAGCATGAGGATGGACTTGGAGTCCAAGAGGATGTCCTCGAGTCCACAAAACAGGGTTCTTAGGGACGGGGGTTCAAGAGGGGTCACCCAAAATTCCCTACTATACTCCTTAAAGGCACCCAAAGCTTCCCTAAGGCTGACAGCAGGATGCCCATACCAAGCAAGGACGTCTGATGCCAAGGAAGGTTGCTGGGCCACGAATTGAGGTGCAGCACCTCACTGAAGGGTGTTGGGGCCCAGAGGTGCGACTCTCTGTGAACATGCAGCAAGGAAGCGACAGACAGCTGAAGACGTCAATGCGATGAGCCTACACCCTGCACAAAGGAATGCCTCAAGGAGCCCAGCGAGAATAGAAGATGCTCGTCCTTGATAAGCAAGGGGGTTTTCGGGGGTCTGAGGCATGAACGCGGACAATTAGTTGAAGCAAGCAGGGTTCCGCGGTCAGACATCTCCGAAAATCTGGGTCATTCCAGCAGGTGCGAGGCTACAGCACACTAAGCTCAAAATGAACTGCTACGGGTAGCAAACCCGAACCTCAGGCAGGGCTTCCGGTTCGCAGCACTTTATGCTGCAACCTTCAACACCATGAATCAGAGCTGGCGGCCCACTCGCATGATCAGCGTGACCTTAGGTGTTGTCTAAGTCGCGCATCTTCAAGAGATGGGTTGGTAAATGCACGCACGAAGCAGCGCCATGTTGCTGGAATCATAACCCTAAACCCTATAAACCCTATACACCCTATAAACCCTATAAACCCTATAAACCCTACAAACCCTATAAACCCTATAAACCCCATAAACCCTACAAACCCTATAGGCAGTGCCAAGTCCAGCACCACTTCACCGGACTGGTTTCGGGCAGCAGAGATGCGGTGCCTCAGGTGGAGCACATAACCACATGATCCCCAGCTGTTGAAGCTCATGCGATCTCCGCACAAAGACCCCAGCAGCTCTGAAGGATTACTCTAATTACCTACTACTAGTTTTACCCTAAACCCTCAACCCCAAACCCTAAACCCTAAACCCTAAACCCCAGAATGTCTCGAGGGCTCGGCAGGGTGCCGTCAATTCCGGCCCGGTCCTCCGGTGCGCAGCAGCGCTCCGAGGAGTGCCCCACAGAAACTTCTGCTGTTTAGGGTTTAGGGTTTAGGGTTTAGGATTTAGGGTTTAGGGATTAGGGTTTAGGGATTAGGGTTTAGGGTTGTTTTTAGGGTTTAGGGTTTAGGGTTAGGGGTGTAGGGTTTTTTTGCCACCCGTCTAGCCACAGCAATGCGGGGAATTTAGGGTTGAGGGTTTTAGGGATTTAGGGTTTAGGGACAACTATTGTGTTGCTACACGTTGATGTGCATGTTATATCATATGCAGTATATCTACAATACATATATATATATAGCTAAAACAGAATATGTACGTATATGATATGTGCAAACAATAACCACTAGCAAAAAGGAAACCAAGAGTTCCTTGCGAATTTTTATCAGAGTGTGCGACTTTGCACTCGCAACCCCATGTGCCTCTGCGAGGCATTGGAGGTAGGCACACAGTGCGACAGCAAGAATTTGCAAGAATATCTGGGGGTTTCCGCAATTAGGGGTTACCTTATTGGGGTCCTTATTATAAGGAGCTCCTACTATCAGGGTCCCCCTATTTTTGCAAACCCCCGCTTAAAGCAAGAAAAAAAGTTCGCCCGTGGCCTGAATTGTGAAGTTCTTCTTGCCAATGCGCCTCGGGAAATCTGACTTCACATGGCATGCCTCAACCCAAACCCCTCACCGCAACATGCTCAAGCCCTCGCGCTTCGGGCTTTTGGGTTTTACGAGCCCCTACTCCGCGCGACCACCTGTGGGAACCCTAGCCCCTAAACCCTAAACCTAAACCCTAAACCCCAAACCCCAAACCCTAAACCTAGGCATGAGTAGTCTTGCGGGCCCCAAATAGCCACTAAGCAGGCCATGGGTCCTTTAGGCATACGTCCTTTGGTCGCTTCTCCAAACTATGGTCCCCTTTTGGGGATACCAGTACAAGGCGCCATATTCACGGTACCCAAAAAAGGACCCAGAACTTTGAGAACTGACCATATGAAACGGGGTCTATATTTCTGTTATTGGTGAGTGTATATAAGGTTCCTTTTCAATATTGGTGAGGATTGGTGAGGTGTATAATATTGAAATATAAACCCTACTTCATATACCCAAAAAAGAATTCCTACTTTTACAAGCTTGCTTCGTTCTATTTTTGAAGGCTTTCTAGGGGGCTCCCCAAACCCTTATAGACCCTTACTAAACACCTAAACGCTTGCCTATTCAAACCCAAGAGGCTCCCAAAAACACCCCAGAATTCAGGCGACCCAAACCTTTCTTAGGGGTAGTTACATGGTCCCTTAGAATGGGCCCTTAAAAGGGGACCTCGTATAAGGTGTACCCTATACAAATCAAGGGCCCATACATCAGAACCCTTTAAAGGAGGTAAGGGACCACATTAAGAGCCCAGATGAAACTGAACCCAAACCCTAAACCCTAAACCCTAAACCCTAAACCCTAAACCCTGAACTACCCTTAGAACCCTGAGGCGGCGGCTGCACGACCAGCTCCACGTTCTCCTTGGTGGCCGGCTCACCTTGCAGGCGCGAGACGAATTTTGAGGATTCATTTTTCTTTTGTTTTGCCACCCCTAAACCCTAAACCCTAAACCCTAAACCCTAAACTCGCAACTACACTGCAGGGAGGGGGTTTAGGGCTACTTTTTTGGGGTTTAGGGTTTAGGGTCTAGGGGGGTTCAGATGAAAGGCTGGGATGGGGCGGAAGGCTTCCTGCCGGCTCTCAGAGCTTCCTTGAGATTCTCGAGCCTTCATGGAAGACTCAAGTCGCAACCCTAAACCCTAAACCCTAAACCCTAAACCCTAAGCCCTAAGCCCTAAACCCTAAACCCTAAGCCCTAAACCCTAAGCCCCAAACCCTAAACCCTAAACCCTAAACCCTGTTGCAAGAAGTACGGGCAGGGGCTCAGGCTTCATGCTGGCCAGAAGTCATCCCAACCAGGGCGAGGCTTGTGAAGCCCTCATATAATAATCATAATAATCATAATCATAATCATAATCATAATCATAATCGTAATAGCAGCAATCATAATCATACTACAAATAGCAATAATAATACCAGTAATAACAATAATGAATGGAGGCTCAGTAGCTTCCATGGGGACAAATGGCTTCGCCTCTTGCTCCTTGTGAGAGGATTTATCCTCCATCGTCACAGCATAGAAGTCGGGAAGGCCCAAAAGTCTCTTCAGCATCGATGAAAGATCGTTGCTTTTGCCCTTCGTATTTCTTGAGGCCAGCGACGTCATCGACGTTGCTTCAAGGTCCTTCGATGGAAGGGCTCGATGTTGCCTGGCCTTTGCTGTGGTCTTAGGTTTTGAGGGGTTGCGACTCTCGCGCTCGCGCGCAGCACCCGTCTAGCGACGGTTCCATGGGGCTGGTTACAAGGGTACTGAGGTGCTTAGGGTTATCTGGCTTGCCGGCTCACTGGTCCGAAGGCAAGACCCTAAACCCTAAACCCTAAACCCTAAACCCTAAACCCTAAACCCTAAACCCTAAACCCTAAACACACGAAAACTCAACCACCACCCCGCAAACATGCCGTGCCCCGATCGATTTGAGAGTTATAGCAACCTACAAATACAGACGAACAAGAACCCGACACCAGCCCTGTAGCATGGCCTTCTACCCGCTTTCCAAGGAAAGGTACCACAACACGGAATCACAAGGGGGGTTTCCGAATGGAGGTGTACCGTATTGGGGTCGTTGTTATAAGGGAATCCTACTATTTTGGGGACTATATTGGAAAACCCTAAACCCTAAACCCTAAACCCTAAACCCCAACCCTCAACCCTAAACCCCCCCATAAGAATCATCAGCCCGCGGCCGAGAAAGTCGCTGCGCATCTGCCGCTCACCCATTTCTTTCCACCGGAACTCCAGGGGGCGGCCCACCTTGTCTATACTTCTGGGGGTGGGGGGGGAGGAGGTTTAGGGTTTAGGGTTTAGGGTTTAGGGTTTAGGGTTTAGGGTTTAGGGGTAGTTGCATGGGTCCCTCAATATGGGCCCTTACAAGGGGAGCCCTTATATACCCCCTATTTTCCCTATACAAATTGGGACCATACATCAGATAAGGGACCATCTTCAGGGCGCCTGAAACTACCCTAAGGCCTTGGTACACGCCATCTGCGGTCCTTATGCAAGCGCCCTGGCCACACAAAGGCCTTCAAAAACCATCTTCAACTCGGGGGCACTTCCCTGTGGGATTTCAACACGCTAAACCCTTTTGCGCCAGGCCTCACTCAAGTGCCTGATTGCAGACTCTCTCTCTCGTGTTGTGCACCCAAACCCTAAACCCTAAGCCTAAACCCTAAACCTAAACCCTAAACCCTAACCCTAAACCCTAAGCCTAAACCTTAAATCCGCCAAAAGCACGCAGCAGTCCGTCGTTTTCCTGGCACCCTGGGTTTCCGAAGGCCCGGGCGCTGATAACGATCTCCATCGGGTTGCTGTCAACCCTAAGTGCGCAGGGTGGTTTGGTTTAGGGTTTAGGGGTTTAGGGTTTGGGGTTTGGGGTTTTTGAATTTCACAAGCCAGGCGGCAGCGATGGACCCCGATCCCCATTATGATTCTGCTCTTGCGGGTCAAGTTAGGGGTCGTTTCCTAAAATGAGGGACCTTTGAGAGGAGATCATTTGGGGGTAGGGGCGGGGGGTCCCCCTTTAAGGGGATTCATTTCTATTTGGGGTGTAAAGGGGGATACACCTTTTTTGGGTGAAATTCCCGTTTGTGTGACGTCAACCATGCCAGCAAACCCTAAACCCTAAACCCTAAACCCTAAACCCTAAACCGAAAGTCTGTGCCCTGTGAAGCTTCCGCTACGAAACGCCCGGACATTTGGGCGTGCGGCTCTTTGATGTGGCGCTGGACTACCTGCGAGGAGGAGAGTGGGGGGAGGGGGGGGTTTAGGGTTTAGGGTTTTACGGTTTAGGGTTTAGGGTTTAGGGTTTAGGTGGGCAGTTCTGGTGTCGACACTCACACTGGGGACTGGGCCTCAAGGATAGGCTCGGGCAAGATGCCTGCAGCACAACGCGACTGCGACTGCGCGCGCTGCCAGTCCGATGTCTCCAGATGCATCACTCTCTTTTCTTCTAACTGTATGAATGTACGGTATGTATGTATGATTTATGTATGTATGTGTGTATGTCTGTATGTATGTATGTATGTATGCATGTATGTATGTATGAAATGTATGATTCTGTATGTATGAGCCGCTCTGCACCCGGGAAGTTATAAAGAAGCCTTGAACACAGAAGTCTTTTGTGTCACCAGGCGTCAGGCGCAGGAGAGGCTCGATTTCTGCAGCTGCCTCTGTGGCCTATGGAGCAGGCGTTTAGGGTTTAGGGTTTAGTTTTTTTTTCAGGGTTTAGGGTTTCGGGTTTAGGTTGGTTTCGATGTTTTTCCCTCCACCCCCCATGCAAGCTCCCACAGCTTCGTGGCATGGGACTGGGGCGAGGCAAAAGCCCCTGAGAAGGGAACACAAGGTTTAAGTAAACAACAACAACCGGGGGCTTTGTGACTTTGTGAACATGCTTGACGACTAAAAACGGGCGATAAGCTCTCTGTGATATTCCCAATCACTTCCGCACGCAAGCGCCGCACCTCTCGCACCTTCTCCTCCTGTACTTGCTGGATCATTTGCTTCAACTCCTTGCGGGGGTTTAGGGTTTAGGATTTAGGGTTTCGGGTTTAGGATGGAAGAGCACAGAACATTGCAGCACTTGACAGCATCTTACTGCACTCCGGCTCGATTCCTAAGGTCTGCTGGACAGAAGCGTGCTTGAGCAATCTTTCGCAAGTGCTTGGTCCCTGTTTCTAGCCTAAGTACAGAAGGCCGAAAAACTAAACATCGGTAGGACCACCTCTGCAACAAACACCGACATTTCCAGTCACACGCCAAACTTTTGGGGTTCAGGGCTTCGGGGTTTCAAAACCACTGGCTGCCGATTGACCCAAAGCTGATGCTGGGCGGCAGGCTTTCTCGCTCCCATCTCAGTCACAGCCAATCTTCAGATGCACACGCACAGGTACACAAAGTCCAGACAGTCCTCCCCTCCTTCACCTACTGAACGATTCTTTCTGGACAACGCTGCTAAACAATTAGGAGCGGCAGATAAGAAATCCCCACTCTTCCAAGCTCCTGAGCTAGCGTCTGTTTCGCCTGTGTCAACGTGCAAACTCCATCCGGTGGCTGTGAGGAGCATCTAATCATCTAATCGCACTAAGCCGAGGTCTGACTATACAGACTCTCGAACAATCGTAAAGTCACGAGTACGATCAGTGACCTATCCCCATGCAAGCAGGAGAAAGCTAGTGACAACCCTGAACCCTAAACCCTGAGCCCTGATTCTTCTGTCAAGCCGCTGAGATGGCACACGAGCCGGTGCTTCTCAAAACTGAAGGGAACCCTGCGACCTCTGAGAAGGTGAGCTCTTCGTACCGTAGGGTTTAGGGTTTAGGGTTTAGGGTTTAGGGTTTAGGGTTTAGGGTTTAGGGTTTAGGGTTTAGGGTTTAGGGTACGTGCTGGCACCAGCTTTCTGGCGAGTCGCGCCGTAAACTCTTACGGGGTATAAGGACCCCAGGAGGGATCCTTCAATCCTATTCCCCCTTCTATACACCTCATTTAGAGGCCCTATACACCTTAGTAGCCCCTGAATACCCCCAAACAACCCTAAACCCTAAACCCTAAACCCTAAACCCTTTTGAGCAACGGACTTTGGAGGCTGCCGGCAAACATGCAACTTCTTAGAAGTCAAACCCCAAACCCCAAACCCCTAAGATCCCTGGAAAAAGGGTCTCTCCCTTCGTCCCTTGGAAATCTAAAAATCCCTCAGCCCTGCAAAGCCCAATCTGCCGTGGTTGCTCGCCAAGGGACGGGCCCTGGAGTTGCACTCAGGGTTTAGGGTTTAGGGTTTAGGGTTTAGGGTTTCGGGTTTCGGGTTTAGGGCTTAGGTCTCCCCATGTCTCCCCCCCCCCCCCCCCGTAGGTGCAGCTGCGTAAGATTTGCCGATGGCTTTGAGCAAGCCACGTAGGATGCATACAGGTTTAGGGGTTTAGGGTTTAGGGCTTAGAGGTTAGGGACAGAAAACTCGCGTTCTATAGTAGTTCATTCTGGTAAGCGCGGGGCCTCGCGGCAGTGTCATCACATGCTGGCCGGGCCATGCCCGGAATTCTGACAGTCCTGCTCCAAGTTTTCATGGTGAGCCCTAAACCCTAAACCCTAAACCCTAAACCCTAAATACGGTCGAACTTCCTTGACTGGAAACCTGCCGAGCGTCAGCTGTCCAAGCCCAAGAAGCCTACAAGTAACACCTTGCTGATTCCCAACCCTAAACCCTAAACCCTGAACCCTAAACCCCCCCCCTCACACGGAGCAGCAGCCAAACAGGCCTTTTTGGCAGAGCTGATTGAAGGTTCGCGACTGGCCCTCCAGCATGTGGCCCATGGCAAGAGACCTCAGCGACAAAAGGGCAAGCCCACAGGATACTGCACCTCGCAAGTACAGAAGGCAGGCATGATAAGGCATGCTTCGCTTCATTTCTCGTAGGCGCAGTCGTGCCATTTGCGTGCAGTCTGCTCCGATTGGCGCCGCGCAGATACATGAAAACACCGCGTCGTGTTCGTTCCATTGTTATACAGATATTACAGATACTTAAGGCATGTTGCAGTTGCTGCGCCACATGGCGACCGTCGACTGCTTTGATCAATCCTGCGCTCAGCCAGCTTAGGCGAGTGCACCTCTTTGTGTGTCGATTCCCAAGCTTGGCATTGGCTTCACGGAATCAACTGTCGCTAAGACCAACAATGCTCACCTTCACAGCAACAACCCTAAACCCTAAACCCTAAACCCCAAACCCCAAAGAGGCCGGAAGCATTCATGCCAGGCTCGGCTACGTTCACGTGTGGTTAAGGCGAAGGTACCAGCATCTGTGGCGACATGGTGAAACCTACTAGGGTTTAGGGTTTAGGGTTTAGGCTACTCCAATAGTCCATGACTTTCCAATGGCCAGGATGTCCGTGACACATGATTACATCCCTATCCCTAAACCGTAAACCCTATAAACCCTAAACCTCATAAACCCTAAACCCTGAACCCGAAACCCTAAACCATATAAACCCTAAACCCTAAACCGATACTTACAAACATGCAGCATTTGCTGTCGGCACATTGCGGCCGACCTAGGTCGCCATGGCAGACGTTGGTGTGTGTGTGTGTGTGTGTGAATCTTTGGGGCCCACAGTCACGTTTGTGAAAGCTGGGGGTTTACGATACTAGCGGCACCTTCTTGGGGTCCTTATTATGAGGGAATCCTTTTTTGGGGGGTCTGGGTTAAGGGATCCCTTATCTTCGTAAACCCCCAGCTGGGTTAAGAATGAAGAAGCGCTGCGATTCGCAGCTGCAGCGTTCATCGAATTGTGGATATACACGACCGTACTTCAGACAGCCTACACAGGGAATGTGCCCAATGGAGTATCCATGCCTTGTCCGAAGCGAAGCCCTTGCATGATGTGCGTCTCTAGGGATCTCTGCTTCTGCAGGACATCTTTGACGCTGTATGCCAAGCTCGTAATGTCTGAGTTTGGTTCGTTCACCCGCGCCCAATTGCTGCCGGTCATCTCAAGCTGAACTCGCCCGTTGGCGAACCGGACCTTGCATCGGGAAACGCACGTCTCCTCAGTGGCCCAGTAACCCTATTACAATAAGGTGCCCCTTTTTTGGTTGGTTACTTTATAAGGGAACCCAGAACCAAAAAAAGGGTAAGTGGCCCAGTAGCCATATCACAATAAGGGCACCCTTTTTTTGGTTGGTGACTTTCTAAAGGGAACCCAGAACCAAACAAAAGGGGTAAAGGGTACCACTGGGCTAGCAAGTCTCAAAGATGAAGCGGTTGCGAACGCACGCGATGAACTCGCTCATGTCGGAGAGGTTCACCATGATGACTTTTGCATTGGGCATATTGGCCATCATTCCAGCGGCCGCGGGTTGTAGCATGTTCAAAAGGCAAACAAGCAGCTCCAGTAAGCAAGTCAAGCCGATGGCTGGGTTACGCACTGCATTTGCCACACAGTCTGGCAGGAACTCGAAGACAACTGCCATGTCTTCGATGCCATCAGCGAGGAAGTGTTGAAGCAAGGTAATCCGCTCGTTGGACCCAAGTGTGTGCCAGGCTTCCTCGAGGCAGCTTCGACTCACAAGTCGCCAGGGGGTCTCTTAACCGTCTAGCGCTCTCATTATTCTGTCGGTATAGGGTTTAGGGTCTAAGGTGTTATATTTTTGCACCCGCATAGCTGGGTTTAGGGACTGTCTCAGCCTTCCCCCCTCCCTTTCTCGTTTCGATCCTGCAGCTGCCGGTAGGCATTTCGATCCTCCACACGTGCGAGGCAAGCCAGCCGCACCAAAACCAGATCCTCTGGGGTCAGGAACGGGACGTTCAGCACGTGGGCCCGAGCCTCGAGGTATCCTTGGAAGAGATCACACACGTCAAACGCTTCGAAGAAGGAGTTCTTTGAGTCGGAAGCCGCTTCTCACCACAGTCTAACCGTATGCGACCGCTGTTTCTCTACAGTCTACAGTATGCCGCATCGAAAAAAAGGGAAGAAAAAAAGGCTTGGGGCGGCAGGGCATCCCCAATAGATGCCGCAGGCTGAGGCCTCGAGAAGGTACTTGAGCATGCGGACGCCTTCGATGACACTTTCTGCGCGCCTTGCAGTCAGGAATTTCGAGCCCCGCCCTGCGTTGAGGCCACTCATGAAGCCAAGGAGGAAGAGGATATAGAAGCGTAGAACCTCGGAGCCATCCCGTTTCACATTCTCCTGGAGTTGGAGCACGTTGGCGGGCACCTACACTCCCCTTAGAACCTCAAAAAAAATACTATGTTCAATATCCTCTTGGGTTTTTATATAAACAAAAAATACAAAAAATGGCTCCCAAGGGGGATGTACGTAGGCACATTCTCGCCCTGCAGCATCTGCGCCAGGTTGAAGATTGAGTGCAAGTTCAAAGCGCCTGTGGCATACATCAAGCCCTCCTCACTCAAGGCTTGCACGGAGGGCACGACATTCTTGTAGTTGTCAATCAAGTAGAGCACCACGTTCTCTGGGCTTCTTTCATGCTTGGGCACTTGGTTTGAGACGATCTTGGACTTTCCCAGGGACCGGATTGCGAGGAGAACCAGCACCGCATGGATCTTCTCCTGGCGGCGTGTCCGACCGGCAAGAAAAACGAACCATCACTTGGAGTTTCATGGTACTTATTAACCAATTATGACAGTACTTCCCACTTATAAGCGCCTCAAGTGCCCTAATATGGTGAAAAGTACAGTCATAAGTACAGTTATGATTGGATAACAAGTATACCATGAACCTCCAAGCAAGGTCTCAGGGGTTCAGGCTTGCAGTCCCTGGCTGTGCCCCCTTCTACTAACAGTCCTCAACAAGGATTTTAGTCCCCCCCCCCCCCTTGCCCCCCCCGGGCCCCCCCCGGGCCCCCCCCGGCCCACCCCCCCTCCCTAGTCTTATAGTCCCTATTTTAGGACTGCAAGTAAAATTGTGGAGGAACATCCGAAGACCTGAGCCATTTGCCATCCTGCCTTGGTGGGCCTGATCCAACTCACAATGTGCTGCAGCTGATCCCACTGGGATGGCAGAAGCTTTGCAGAGGGTGGCTGCACGTTGGTGAAGATGTCGTAGCGGTTGTGCACCAAGGCCAGGGTACCTGGAGAGAAGCTCAGCATGAAGCACACTTTAAGCCGTTTTTCCGCAGGGAAGGGACGCTTTAGAAGACTTAAGTGACTTGGGATGGTCGTTCCCCCGTATGCTAACAGCCCTTAAGGGATATTCATAGGGGGGTACTATAAATCCCTACTGAGGACTGTTAGTATTACGGGGAACATCCGAACCCTAAACCCTGAACCCTAAACGGGAACATTCCAAGGACTTGTGCTACCCGAGATGCAGATGCAGGAGGACTCGGCCCGATCTCTTTCCGCGCCCTGCTCGAAAAGCATGTGGGGGCCGTGGTCCGGCGAGATCTCCTAAACCACGGTTAGGGTTAGGGTTTCGGGTTTAGGGTTTAGGGTTTAGGGTTTCGGGTTCACTCGGCGCTCTCTCTGAGTCTGAGCAACTGAGTTTTGGGGTTTAGGGGTTAGGGTAAATTTCTGTTCCTTATTGAGTGTAAGTACCCTTGAACATGTAAAATGCTACCCCCCCCCCCCCCCCCCCCCCCACGATGGCAAAGTCTCTGGGATGCTTGTCTGCAACTGCTCGGGAAGCTCAAATTCATTGAGCCTGGGCAGGGCAAAGGAGAAAACAAACAAACAAACAAAAACAAACAAACAAACAAACAAACAAACACACACACACACACACACACACACACACAAGGGTTCAAGGTTTATAGCGTTTCGGGTTTAGGGCTGGTTTAGACTTTTTTGGGGTTCCAGGTTTCTGAGAAGCCCGAGGAGCTTGTTTGGCCAGCCAGTCTCGATCAACCACTGTAGCTCCGTGCCGCAACCCGCCTTTTCCGGAGGTGCGCCCTCGTTGTTCCCGAGACTCGTGTCCATTCCAACCATGGGCATCAGCTGGGATGAATCCGATCTGCGCGTGTGCACGGGAGTGTGCACGGAACTTGGGACAATATGTGAGAGGTCAATGTTTTCGAGTCGGGTCTCCTGGTCAGGGTACATGTCCTGATATATCCTTACTTCTCCAATAAGCAAGGGGAAAAAAGGTTGTAGACTTTGTCTTTCCTACCAAATAAGGAAACCCAAAAGTTTAAAGTTCAACTCCCCCAAACCCTAAACCCTAAACCCCTGATAACCCCTGATAACCCCTGATAACCCCTAATAACCCCTAATAACCCCTAATAACCCCTAATAACACCTAAACGCTAAACCCAAAAAGTTTAACAAGTTCAACTCTTGGCCAAGTGTCTGGGTTTTCTTGCAGCACTTCTCGGAGAGAGCGCTTTGGACTTTGAGCGAGGCTCTGCCACCAATCCTGACGAGTGGACATTTACATAGGGTTTAGGGTTTCGGCGGGTAACAGGGTTTCAGGGTTCAGGTTTGGGTTTAGGGTTTAGGGTTTAGGGTTTAGGGTTTAGGGTTTAGGGTTTAGGGTTTAGGGTTTAGGGTTTAGGGTTTAGGGTTTAGGGTTTATGGTTTAGGTTTAGGGTTTAGGGTTTAGGGTTTAGGGTTTAGGGTTTAGGGTTTAGGGTTTAGGGTTTAGGGTTTAGGGTTTAGGGTTTAGGGTTCAGGGTTTAGGGTTTAGGGTTTAGGGTTTAGGGTCACCACAGAAACAGACAGGCGTGCAGCAAAGTCACTTCTTGACTGCCATGGTGAACTCTTTGGCGTACTCGAAGAACATTGCCGCACAACTGGGTGCGTTTTGTAAGCACTTCACCAAGCTGTCACCGTCGAGCGTGAACCTTACACAACATGCGTCCTACAGTCGTATT